TTTTTTTTTTTTTTTTTGGTACCGGGGATTGAACTCAGGACCTTGTGCTTGTGTGGCAGGAGCCGGAACCACTGAGCTAAATCCCCAGCCCCTCCCCGTGTTCCTTTCTCTCTCTCTCTCTCTTTCTTTCTTTCTTCTTTCTTTCCTTCCTTCCTTCTTTCTCTCTCTCTCTCTCTCTCTCTGTCTTTCTTTCTTCCTTCCTTCCTTCCTTCTTTTTTTCCAGTATTTCTTTGACCTGCCTCCATCCCTTTGTTTTTTGAGGCTTTCCTTTCTTCCTAGCATCATCATTTTCTGCCCCAGCCCTGGGCTCAGCCACTTCTCCAAGAAGCCCTAATTCCTATGATTGACTGAAGGATGACCTTGGAAACCAGGATCTGGACCTGAGTGTTCTTGTTGCCATGGGAGTGTTATTCCTTCTAGGACCTCTCAGTGGACAGAGCTTGCCGATGTGCCTATCTGGTTGTGTGTGTGTGGTCTGTCATCCGAATGTGCTTATCTGGACCTTTCACTGTGGTGGTGAGAACCTGCTCCCACCATCTGCTGTTCACCTGTGTGTTAGGCCCAGTGCACATGGAACACAGTTTCAGAAGCAGATTTGCCAACTAGAATACAGAGTCCCTCCCTCTCTCCCTCCCTCCCTCTCACTGAGGATTGAACTCAGAGCCTCATGCATGCTGGGCAAGCATTCTAACCCTGAGCTACATTGCCAGGCCTTTCATCTTGAGACAGGATCTCAGTAAATGGCCCAGGTTGGCCTCAAAATTGTGATCCTCCTGTTTCAGCTGGGATTCCCAGTAGGTGGGATTCCAAGCATGTGTCACCATGCCCAGCTGAGCAGATTTTTAAAATTTAAATGAATGTAAGTTTATCAATTGTTTCTCTTCCTCCAATGGGCTTTTTGTGTCCTGTCCAAGAATCTTTGTCCAGATGGGCATGGTGGTGCACTCCTATGATCCCAGCACTGGGGAGGCAGAGGCAGGAGGATTGTCAGGAGTTCAAGGCCAGCCTGGGCTTCATAGTGAGTTCAAAGCCAGCTTTCACTACAAAGTGAGAACCTGTCTCAACAAAACAACAACAACAACAAAAGTTTTTGTCCAACTCAAAGTCGTGAAAATATTCTCCTATGTTTCCTTTTACAAACTTTCTAGATTTGGTGTTTCCATTTAGCCACATGATCTAGCTTATTTAATTTTTCCTGCAATGTGAGGTGAGAGTGTCTAGTTGTTCCAAAGGCTTTCTCTCCCCACTGAGTCCCTTGAGCATCTTGTTGAAAACCACTCAGCTGGTTATGCGAAGGTCTCTTTCTGGTTCTCTGTTTTGTCCCACTGACCTGTTGCTTATCTCTTCATCTGTCTAGACTGAATTGTAACCTTGAAGTCAGGGAGTGTGTCCTCTGTCTTTTAAAAAACCACCTCTATTTGAGGTTCTTTGCATTTTTGTGTAACTTTTAGAATTAGTTCCTGCCGGGGATTTAGCTCAGTGGTTCTGCCGCCTGCCTTGCAAGCTCAAGGACCCAAGTTCGATCCCCGGTACCCCCCCCAAAAAAAAATAGAATTGGTTCCTTAAGAAGAAAAGTCTGCTGAAACTTTCACTGGGATTAATTTGAGGGGAATTTGTACCTTAACAATATTGAATACTCCATTAATATGGTATGGTTTTACATTATTTGAATATTTCATTTCTCTCAAAAATATTTTTTATATACATATATATATATTTTGGTACCGGGATGGCTCGGGACCTTGCATTTGCGAGGCAGGCAGTGGAAACACTGGAGCTAAACCCCCGGCCCTGGTTTATAATTTAAATGAGCAGGTCTTGCACACGTTTTATGGAATTTATCTGTAACTATTGCTTGCTTGCTTGCTTGCTTGATTGAGATGGGGTCTTTTGGCCTTGAACTCACCATGAAGCACAGGTTGGCCTCTAACATGGGTGATCTTCCTGCCTCTGCCTCCCCAGTGCTGGGGTTACAGACCTGTGCTGCCGCACCTGGTTAAAAATACGATTTCTTATACTGACTTTATTCTTGAAACATTGCCAGCTTTGCTTATAAGGTATTTTGGGGATTTCTTGTTTGTTTGTTATTTTGTTTTTGGTAGATTTCCTAGGATTTACCATGAAAATAATCATATCATCTGCATGGAGACTGTTTGACTTCTTCGTTTCTTATTTCTTTTTTTTGGTACCTGGGATTGAACTGGGGTCCTTACGCTTTTGAGGCAGGCAGTGGAATCACTGAGCTAAATCCCTGGCCCTTCCTTTCTTATTTTTAGGGCTTTTCTTTTCGTTATTGCACTGGCTAGAATCTATGACAGTGGTAATTGCCACATTAATAAAGGAGAAAATCCATATGATCATTCCAATATATGTAGAAAAGGAAGAAAAGGCATTTGAGAACATTTAAAATCCTTTTATGATTAAAAAACTCTCTGGCAAAGTAGGAATAGAAGGAAACTGTGAACCTGATAAAAAGTATCTGTGAAAAACCTATGCCATAGGGCTGGGGATATAGCTCAGTGGCGCTGCGCCTGCCTGGCAGGTGCAAGGTCCTGAGTTCAATTCCCAGTATGGGATGTGGGGGAACCCAAGCCATACTTTGTGCTCAGTGGTAAAGCTTGAGCACTTTATCCCTGAAGTGAAGAATGGGGAGGACAGCTGCTTTTAGCACTTCTACTCAAGTGTGCTGCTGAGTGCTCACACTGCCAAAGGAGAGAAGCAGATTACATCATAAAGATTGGGGAAGAAAAAGTAAAACTGCACTTATTTGCAGATGGCAAGATTATGTAGAAGATCCTAAGAAATCTGAAAAAAAGAAAAAAAAATCTGGAGCTATTAAGAGACTTTAGCAAGAAATTAATCTGTAAAAACTAACTTTTGTTACTTATAGCAGCAAGCTACTGGAAAATGAAATCAGAAATTACTTTTTGTTTACAATGATACCCAAAAATTAATTAGTTTAACAAAAGATATACCAGTGGCTAATGACTGGGAAATGCAGATAACAAGAACAAAGAGATACCACTGCACACCCACGGACTAACACCAAGCCTTAGAAGGGATGCAAACAGCTGACGTCTCCTGCCGGGCCAGTGGGAGGGTGAAGTGGACCACCACTGCGGAACAGTTCGCAACATCAGAAAGCTAAACATACATACCACTCCTAGATTCCAGCCATTCCACTCCTGGGTATCTGCCTAAGAGAAATGAAAACATATCCACACAAATAAGTGTGCAAGGGTGTCTGCGGCGCCTTTATTCATAGTCACCAAAACCAGAATCAGCCCAGGTATCTGTCAACAGGTGATGAGCAGAGAAGATCAAGTATATCCACACAGTGGAGTGCCGTTTAGTTGGAAAAGAGAGTGCAGATAAACTACACAGTGCATCCAAAGATTGTGAGGCTGATGGAAGGAGCCAGACACAAAGGTGTGCAAAGTGTATGATCACTTAGATGAAATTCTGCAAGGCGGAGATTTGCGGTGATATGGTCAGCTCAGTGGATGCTTGGGCCAGGGGCTGAGGGTTGAGCGACCACAGAGGGCTGTTTGGTTTTGGTGGCTGGCGGCTTCACAGATGAGTCATTTGCCAGAACTTCCCGAGTTATGTACTGTAAATGGATGTGGTTTATGGTGTGTAACTCTTGCCTCAGTAAAGTTGACCAAGTAGCAGACTGAAGCGTTGACTGAAATCTTGGAGTTCAGATTCTTTTTGTGACTTGACCTGGCCCTGGGATGCCCCTTCCTAGAAAGTGAGCAGGACATCAGGTGTTTTCTCCAGGCAGGGGAAAGTATCTGTGCTAAGCAAATAACAAATAGACAGAAAGAAGGAATTTGCGCATATCCTGTGGGTGAGGAGTGTGTCCCTGCATGGGGCAAGGGGGAGCATGCATTTTTCGTGGCTGGATAGCTGAAACTCCTCCAGAAAGGCCCGTTCCCTTCAGGGCAGATTTCCTGCAGGCCTGGGAGGCACCTCCCAGTTCTGGGTGTTGTCACTACCCACAGCCCTGGGCTGAGTCTCCGTAAGGCGAATGACAGGATGGTCCCCATCACTCCCTGCTGAGGGGCAAGATCCCAAGTCCCCCAAACCTTCACCTCAGAGCATGTGGATCTCACGTCCTCTCCAAGAGCCTAGTTCCTGTTCCCCACCCCAGCCTGAAACATCTCTGTTCTTCCTGAGACCAGCCTGGAGCAGGCAGGACGCTGCGGCTGAAGTCTGTGCTCAGAGCTGAGACACTTGGCACAACTGCTTCCGCCCTGCAGCCGCCTTCGCCCAGGAAAAGTCACTTAGAGGTAATTTTTACATTGAAGTATTGACCCAGCTGTGTTGGGACAGACAACGAGTTCTGCCTTGTGAGTTAGCAGTTGTTAAAAGTTGTGCAAATGATACTACTTCAAGCCTGTGTGGTGGGTGCAGGCTTATCCTCCATTGTGTTAGAAATGTGGCAGGCATGAAGCCCTATGGGCTTCGAGCACGAAGTGTCTGAGCCTTAAGAAGTCTGCTCTCCGTGTGTATTCCAGTCGCCCCGCCCTCTGGATCTTCTTCCTATGATTAGAAGTTTTTAAGCTCTGTATCACTGGGGCCATGGTTCTCGATATTTAACTCTTGTGGCCCAGAGCTATGAAGGCAGAACACTAGCACTGAAAGTCCTTGTCCACCCTGAGGCCCTGGCCACCCAACGGGAGACTGACTCTGGGAGACCATGCTCAAGATGTGAGCAGAGTCTGACCAGAACACATCAGCATCTGCGAACTGGAGATCAGGGGAACAAATGGGCTTGCTTCCAGGACCTGACCTGTTGGAGTTGTTGGAGGGCGCTCCAGGCTGTCCTTTGCTGGGCTCTGGACCCTCCCTGCCAGGAAGTTGTTCTCCCAGTGATTCACAGGCTCAGTCACTCGGCTGGCCTACTGGGCACAAGGGTCAGGTCCATGAGCTCCGTGTGACCCAGCAGCCCCAGCTGTGCTGACCAGTGACTGCCCTGGTAGCCCGAGCCGATGTCTGCAGCTCTCATCCTGGAGGGGCAGGTAAGAGCGCCTCAGACTGACCTGCACCCACTGCTCCACGAGTCCTGGGCGGCAGCTGACCTGCAAACCCACCCTGCCCTCTACCCGATAGGCTCTGCCTTCTCCCTGCTTCACTGCCACCCTCCTGAGCAACCCCATTCCTAATAAAGCCCCACCCTTTTCATGCTGAGGCTGCATCCCTCCATTGCAGGCCCCCCATGAGGCCCCTTCTAGACTGCGCCCTCCCACTTTGCCCCCTCCCACTCCACCCTTTGCTGCCCTCTCCCCTCCTTTCTCGAACAGACCCTGCTGTCCTTTAGCTCCCTGGCATGGCCCTGCAGTGCCTCGCGCTCCTGGCTGGCCTTCTGGTGGGAGTCGCCAGCAAGTCCACAGAAAGCAAGGTTGGTGTCCCTGTTGCATAAGCATATGGCCAGCAGCGGGAAGTTAAACTGGAGTTTCACCCTTGGCCCAGGAGGCCCCTGATGCTCATCCCCAGGGGTCCAGATGAAGCTACTGAGTGGAGGGGCTGTGCCTCACTCTGCACCTGTTCTGCTCTGCCTCCCAGAAGTTTCTCTGTCAAGCTCTCTGTTGATGTAGCTGACTGAAGGTTCCTGCAGAACCACCCTGTGGGAGCTGTTTGCTGCTTGAAGGACAGCAGTGCTGGCTAGTGGTGTCCTCACAGCAGGGCCTCCTGGCTCCCCCGGGAGTGATACTGCAGTGTGCTGTGGTGTCTGGAAGGGCTGATGCCAGCAGCTCTGGACCTGGAGCCAGGATCAGGTGGGGGCCACACAGACTGGGGTGGCTGGAGGGTTAGGGTGCCCCTCCCTGAGTTGGCCACAGCTAGTTTGAGGGGTTGCCATGCAATGGGTATAGCCCCTCTTGTGGTGATGTGGGCCCTCCCCACATCCCTCGGTCTCCCTTTACATGCCCCTCACTAGCCACCAAGCCCATGTCACAGGAAACAGAACCCCATAAGCGCAAGGACCTGAGTTCGATCCCCGGTACCAAAAAACCCCCACAAAACCCCACCTGTGTTGACTCCACAGCCAGAGTCACTCTGGGGACATCCCGCCCCACCAAGCCTATGCAGCCCTCCCGTGGTTGGTGAACAGCCCTTCATATTTGCAAATGCTGTGTAGCACTTGGCACATGTGCACTGTGTGAGGAGGTGGGGCAGGGCTGTAACTCCACCTCCCTGAGACTCTGGCCTGGCCCAGGAACTTCTTTGGGGCCAAGCTGCAAGCCCTGCACACTTGCCGAGAACCATAGGGAAGCCTCCAGCACCTGTGGGTATTTTAGGGGGCACTGAACTTTTGGCAAGAATGCAGGGAAGGAAGGACCCAGGGATTTGATTTAGCTCAGTGGTTCTGCCGCCTGCCTCGCAAGTGCAAGGTCCCAAGTTCAATCCCCGGTACCAAAAAAAATGCAAGGAAGGTGCCAGGTCCCCTCTTGCCAATGTGTTTGCCTTTCTACAAAAGTGTGTGTCCTTTGCCCATGAAGGAGTTTCTAGAGTTGATCCTGCAGTGGAGCTAAACAGCAAAATGTGTTAGTAGGTGACTAATAAAATGATTTCACTGATTGATAATTTCACCAACTAGAATGCTCCACCCTGTCATTGCCTGTGGCCCAGAGAGGCAGAGGCTGGAGAGCTCTACGCAGAACAGGGAGACTATGTAGAGAGAGACCTCAGCTGCTGCCACCTCCCCATCAAGGCCTTGAGGGGCAAAGAGAGGAGACCCTGCCAACCACAGGATACCTATAGCCCAGGAGCGCTTGACAGTCCCCTCGCCCCACGAGGGCAAGGAGAAATCTGTTTTCTTTTCTTTTTTTTTTTTTTTTGGTAATGGGGATTGAACTCAGGACCTTGAGCTTACCAGGCAGATGCTGTGCTGCTGAGCTAAATCCATGGCCCTAAGAAATTGTTTTCTCCAGCTACCACAAGGTTCATGGCTGAGGCTTCTAAAGTAAGAGGCCGATTAATAAGAGAAAAGCACATTTATGTGACATGGGAGCCTCCATATCGAATGGAGATCCATAGAAATGGACCTGTGTGATGGCCAGGCTTGAGGAAGAGGGATGGTCCTGGCCATGAAAGGGGCCCTGGCCAGTGGTTAGTTGAGGCGCTTTCCTGTGTTCCTGTCTTCTGCAACAGGGCCTTCGTGTCCTCAGGCTGGGGAAGCCGTGTCTTCCACGAGAGCCTTATGGCTGGTTGAGAGCTGAGGATATGAGTTGAGAGAGACCTGCTTCTGTGTTCTCAAGTGCCGAAGTGGTATATTTTGGGGTCCTGTGTTCAGAGCCCCATTTCCTCCCAACAGCCTGAGGCCCAGGCTGTAGTTTAGAGTCCTGTGGCTGTTTCTGAATGTACCAGCCAGGTCCTGGCTGCACACCATTCCTCCAGCATTGGTTCTTTCTGTCCAGGGCTGAGCTTTTGCCTGGAATGCCACACAGGGGACCGTCAGGGCCCAGAGGTCACCTGGTGCTGACTCTGGGGGAGGTGGGCCACAGGTATTGAGTCGTATGCAGGGAGCCACCTTGCCATGGCTGTCCTCAGTCTCACCACTGTCTCCTCTCCAGGCCCAGCAGCCAGAGTGTTGTGTGGATGTGGTGGACATCAATGCTACCTGCCCTGGAACAAACCTGTGCGGCCCAGGTAAGCCACTGTGCCATGGGCAGACAGCAGACCAGCGACCAAGCCACCAGTGCCTACAGGTGGCACGTGTGACCCTGCCTGCCTGCCCCTGCTTGGTGAGCAGCACAGAAACCGCTGGGCAAAGCAGCCCGGCTGAACCTCCTTCCTGCAGGCAGCCTGGAGAAGCCAACTAGGGCAGTGTGGGGAAGGGAGGGCCCAAAGGAAATGGCGCCAGGGCCATCTCCTCTCTCTGCTGCCCAGTGATGGGAAGTCCCTGCTGGGGGCAAGGCCATCCACTGGGGAGGGGATGGCTCTGGGCTGTGGTGGACTCGGGCTAGAATGGCTCAGCACTGTCATCTCAGCAAGGGAGGACGGGGCACTCCCACCCTGGGCTCCATCTCCCCCTCAGGAAAGCGGCATGAACTCAGAGCGGTTGCTCGGGCAGCTGTGCCCCGAGGACGCTGGCCGGCGTGTGACTAAGACCTGGAGGCCATGGCGGGGCCTGCACAGGGAGAGGCTGGGTCCAGAGGGCCAGGGCTGGGCATCTGGCCCTTGGTTGGCAGGAAGGCGGCAGCGAGGACTGAGAGGAGCAGGAGTCCTGGGAGGGTGTGAGGTCGAGCAGCTCTGGGCACGGGGATTGGATGAAAGACACAGGACCCCCACGGGCTGCGGGGCCACTGCCAGCTCTCTGGCCTACCTTCTCCCTGCCGACAACCCAGTGGCTTTTCAGCACAGGAGCAGTGGGGGCCAAGGGAGGGTACACGTGCTCATGGCAGCGGTGTGCACACCCTGGAGGTAGTGGTCTTGGGGAGAGGTAGCGGCTGAGGCAGAGGTAAAGGCCAGGCCTCCAGTCTCCCACCACGAGGCCACGACACAGCCCTGTAGCTGGACGCCCGTCACCGGTCTCTCTGAATCGCCTCCTGCAGTGACCAGGAGGGCATGGGCTCCTCCAAAGCAGGAGCCTGGGTGAAGGCAACATGCACCTCTGTTGAGCTTTCTTTTTGGAATCTGAGCCAGTTCTACCCAGACTTCCAACATATTGGTATTTTTTTCTTTTTTCTTGAATTCTTTTACCGGTCCGTTTTAGGTGGACAGTACGTTTACCTTTATCATCGGGTGCTTGCGCCTGAACATGATGCATCTTGGTTCTTATTTTTCCCCCTCCCCTGCCCTCCCTTTATCCCCTCCACCCTTCCCTGTTTCCAAAGACTTTGTTTCCATTTTTTCCTTCTCTCGTAATCTTTCCTTTCCCCTATCCCTCCCACTTCCCCTTCCCCTTTCAACTTTTTCTTCCTATTTCAAATTATCAATTATTCATTTTAATCCTTATTTACACTTTCAGTTTCTCACACCAGAGAAACTATTTGGTATTTACACACATGTGTCCTATTTATTTCACTTAAGAGTACGGCCTCACATATTGGGTTTTTTTTTTTTTTGTACTGGGGATCGAACTTGGGACCTTGCACTTGCAAGGCAGGCGCCGGAACCACCGAGCTACATCCCCGGCCCTGCATATTGGTATTCTTGAAGGAAGGCCGTATGACAAACTGAGGTACTGAAAAACTGGGACACTGAGCTGGCCTGGATTGCTTTCCTGAGAGACACTGTCCCCCCCCCCCGCAGGCTGCTACAGGCATGGGAACACAGATGGGAGCATCACCTGTGTGTGGTGCCAGAATGAGACCTTCCCGGCCTACAACGCCTCCGCGTGCAGAACCCGTAGGTCTCCATCCTGATGCCCTACTGCCCCTCCCTCTTCTCCTGCTTCTCACAGGGGCCCATACCTCCAGTTTGGGGAGACCGGGGCCCCACTGTCCTTGTCCCCCAGCAGTGGGGCCCACCTTGCCCAGGAGCACTGTCCATTGGTGGACAGCCCCTGGGACTCCTTCCTGAGTCCTGCATCCACTGGGGCAGCTGTGGGCTGAGGGCTGCTCCGCCCATGGGCACCTTGGTCATGCTTCCAGACCAAGTTTCCCCTTAGGTGAGGTTGGGTGGTCCATGCAGGGTCCACCTCCCCTCAGCTCTGCTCTCCACAGTCACTGGCCAGGGTGCACAGTTTCCCATGAACAGGAGCACAGGGACTTCTGGCCGGCCACATTTTGGTGAGTCTCAATGTCCCAGACCTGAGCCAGGCCTCTGCCTGGTTCCTGGGGGGTGGAGGGGAATGTCAGAGCTCTTGCCTGGGCAGGTCTAGGTCAGCCTCAGGCCCATCTGTGAGCTGTGTGGCAGGAACCCTGGTCACAATGTGGCCAGCAGAGTCCTGCAATCCAGGGCTGGAGTCCGGTGGCTTAGGTAGGGGCCCTTGTTGGGGATGGCATTGATGGAGAGGTGCCACACCCCTCTGACAGCCTCAGAGGCTGCAGCTTGTGATTCACTGTTGCATGTTCACACTTGCCCCTTGCCTCAATCCTAGTTGGCTCCAGCTCCCAGAAGGTCTTCGGGGAGTGGAGGCCACCCTGAGTGCCCCACTGCCCCAAGTGGCTCTTCTAAGATGTAGGCCTCAGGGAGATGTGCACCTTGCAGAAATATCCACCACACTGCCTGCCCTGCCTGGAGGGAGATGAGTTTCCTGGCCTTACAGTCCTACCAGAGATGAAGGCTGAGCAGGCAGGAAGGAGGGCATGGCCTGATAAAGATGTGGCTGGAGGGCGTGCTCTGGGAGGCAGGGTGCAGCCTGGTGGGTGGATGAGGCTGGGCCAGGAGTGCAAGTGGCAGAGGAGGCTGGCACTGGGACTGGGATTGGTGCTAGGAGAGGGCTGGGCTCCCAGGCAGAGGGGCATTACAGTCTGGGAGCAGCACCCAGGTCCAATGCAAAGCTGCTTCCTCTGCAGAGGTGACTCAGTTGCAATAGGAGACCCTTACCCTCCAGCACAGTACTGAACTGGATCCTGGGCTTGGCATTCTGATCTGAGGGGCTCAGCCTGCCCCTCACTTCACCAGAAGGTACACTTGAGCTCCAAGAGGGCACCAGGCCTAGTACTGACCAGGCCTGAAGCCTGCTACACGCGGCAGAGGCTGTTCCCTGGGCCCCCGGCACAGTGCCAGCCAGATGGAGCAAGGCACAAGTCTGCTGGGTGCACCTGTGTCTCAGAGTAGAAAAGCACCTCCCCAGCTGGCAGTGACCAGCGGTGCTCCAGCCTGTCCTGGCTCTATGCAAGTAAAGATCGGGGGTGTGGCTGAGAGGTGCGGGTGCCAAGGGCCATGGAGAGCCTAGGACTGGGTGTGCCTGGAGTTAGCAAAGGGGCTCCTTTCCCCCAGCCTCCTACCTCCTCAAGAAGTCTGGGCCAGGAGGGCAGGGCAGCATCCCCAGGCCCTGTGGTCAGGTGTGCTGGGCCTTCAGAGGTGACCAAAAGGGAACAGCAGCTCCCAGGATGTTAGCAGGGGTCCTGGATTCCCCAGACTCCTCACGGCTGGCTGTTGGTTTGCCACAGAGGCTCCTCGAGTGGCAGTCTCCCTCTTCCTGGGGACATTCTTCATCAGCACGGGCCTCATCCTCTCTGTGGCGGGGTTCTTTTACCTCAAGCGCTCCAGTAAGCTCCCCAGGATCTTCTACAGGAGTGATAAAGGTACTGCCCAGCCATCTGGCCAGCAGTGTGGCCAGCAGTGTGGGTGTGGGTGTGGGGTGGAGGACACTAGGGCGGGGCACAGATCAGGTGCAGATGCCCCTCTCTGTCCACCCCCGCCTGCACTAGGTGCCTTACGGTCCTGAGAACCTGAGGTGGCCTTGGGCCAGTGCCAGTCAAGACAAGTACTTCAGGAACAGCTCTGGGGGACTCTGCACAGCTGGCCGTGGCAAGTCCCGCACCTGTGCCCACCCAGCATCTCTGCCTCCCCAGTAACCTTGCAGCAGGGCAGGCACTGGGTGTGGCTGGCCCTGGTAGTGACAGGACAGAGGGAAATGAGATGGCTCAGAGCACCCCAGTGAACCCCCAGGGCAGGCACTCCAAGGGCCTTGGGTGCCACCTGGGGCAAAGACCACCGGAGGGGATTCCCTCCTTAGGGTCCTGTTGAGGCAGCTAGAGGAGTGACCTTCCCTGCTCATCCGCCCTGCTGGGGAGCAGGAGGAGGGGTCTGGGGCAAGTGGCTGTCCCTGGGGCACTGGGAGCTGCATTGAGCAGCAGCCAGGCTGCTGGAGCAGGGCCAGGTGGGTCTGCTGGGGCCCAGGCCTGGAAGAGCCACTGCCCACCCTGGCCAGGACTGACAAGCGTTTCCTTCCCACAGCCCCAGCCCTGCAGCCCAGCGAAGCCGTAAGTCCCCCACTGCCTGGGGAGCATCCTGGGCCACACGCTGCCTGCCCCTCACACTGCCTTTCTCTCCTTTTCAAGGCTGCGATGATCCCTGCACCCCAGTCCTCAGGTAAATACAGCACCGCACCAATATCCACCTGCCAGACACGGTCACTTCAGGGGTTTGGACCTCTGGGCTTGCAGCTGCCCCCGTGGGTCCCTAGGAATCTGCATCCAACACAGGAACAGGGACAAATGCTCATCGGGCACCCTACCACCTGCCACCTGGCCCCGTGGCTTGCATGCTGTCTACACTTGTCCTTGGGCTGGGCCAGAGAAAAGGGAATCCAGCACGGGCCAGACCCTCCCGGCCACCCTCTAGCCCCATTCAGGACAAACTCCGCCTGCCAGGTGCAGAGTGTAGGTCAGCCCCTGGACCTTGTCCCACCAGGTACCCTTGCGAGGGTGTGACCCACTGTGGAAGAGGCCATGCATGCAGATTAGGTGATTGGCCTGTTGCCACAGGACCGTAAGCCCCAGAGTTGAATTGCCAGCCCCCTTCCCCACTGTGGTCTTCCCACCGTACAGAGGCCTGGCATGGGGACCAGGGCAGGGGATAGTGTCCCTCTCCACTGGGGCCAGAGCAATTCCTTGATCAAGACTAGACCTGTAGGGCTGGGGATGTAGCTCAGTGGTTCCGCCATTTGCCTCACAAGTGCAAGGACCCGAGTTCGATCCCTGGTACCAAAAATTTTTTTAAAAACCCCAAAAAACCAAAGACTAGACCTGCCCTTGGGCCAGAGATGTAGCTCAATGGCACCGCGCCTGCCTGGCAAGTGCAAGGTCCTGAGTTTGATCCCCAGTACCAGAAAAACCAAAAAACCTAAGACTAGACCTGCCCTGTTCCAAACAGCACTTGTCCGAGTTCTCTGACCCTCAGCCCCAGGCGCCTCTGATGGCACAGAGGGCCACCACAGCCTGAGGCCAGGTGGCTAGACAGGCAGATGTCACAAGTTGATTCTCTGACATTTCTGAGCCCAGGGGTTAGAAATCAAGGTGCTGAGGGGAACCTGGCTCTGAGTCTCTGGGGTCCCTCCCCTCCCTCCAGCTTCTGCTCCTCATCGTGGTCTTTCTGCTCTCTCTTCCTTCTGCCCCTCCCTGAGGATACTGGCCACTGGATTTAGGGTGATCTTTCTTATCTGACAGCCTGACTTAGTCACAACTTTCTTCTAAATGAGGCCACATTCATAGGCTCTAGGGCTCGAGACATGGCCATATCTTTAGTGGGAGCCTCCGCCCAGCCCCTGCTGTGCACTTGATGTGGCTGTGCCTCTGTCTTAAGGGACAGCAGGGCCGACCCAGGCCTAGGTCATTGTGTGCAGAGCCCGCGTGTGTGGGAGGAGCCTTCCTGAGCACAGGTGGGGGCGGTGGGAACTCTAGCGGGGGCTCCCACTTCTCCCTGGTTGGAGGAAACAGACACATGCCAACCCTGCACCTGCAGTGGCCTTCCCTCCTCCCCAGAGCCCTGGAGCTGACCCAGCCCTGGGTTGTTCCTGGTGGTGACCCAACTTGTTTTTGACCCTGTTCCAGTGCGGAAGCCTAGATACGTGAGGCGCGAGAGGCCCCCAGACACCTCTGCCTTCCCTGCAGTGGATGCCCGCATCAGCAATGTCTGACTTGGAGGCCAGCTGAGACCCCACCACCCTGGACCCTGGACCCTGGGGCTGCCTGGATGAGCTAGCAGAGGACCACGTCACCTAGGGCCTGGGACAGGCCAGGCGTGGCTCCCAGTGACAAGCTGAGCAGGAGCCCTTTCGTCCCCTCCCTTGTGTCCCTCCCGTGCTGCTCAGTTAACGAACCAGGCTCTTGGAAGCAAAGGAGTAGGGTACAAGCCCTCAGGAGAGAGCCAAAATTCAGGACCAGCTTGGCCTGCAGGTGCCTCAGGCTGCTTGGCCCCTCAGAAGGGTGGGGAGGCCCCACCCTTGAGCCTCTGTCAGGCAGGACCCTTGCACCCCCATCCAAGGGGCCTCCCACACCCCTCTAAGGGGAGTGAAGCCAAGGCTCAGCATCAGGGAAGACACGGCCCCCTGGGCTGAGGCCCCTCAGAGAGAACTGAAAGCCACAGCTGCTCGGCTCCAGGCGTCCCTGGCTTCCTGTTGGCATCTCGGTGCTAAACAGAGGAGGGCCCAAGGTGCTGCTGAATGCGGAGCCCCAGTCCTCAGCCCAGGCTGAGTCGACCCTCGTTCCCAAGGGAAGGTCACCGCCAGTGGACACTCACGGCGGGCAGCCACAGTGACATGTCCACCTAGGCCACCCCTGAAGCTGTCGGTCACTGGGCTCACTGGGCTGCCAAGGGCATGCCAGCCAGTGGCCCTGGGTGTGGGTTGGTGTGCAGGACGCTCCTTGGTGGCCACCTCCTGTGTGCTGGGCCCAGGACTTGAGGTATCCAGTGCCGACTCCTTCAGGGTCTGGCTCACGCTGGAGGGGCCTGACCCCTGGCTCCATGATGCACATTTGCAGTGTGCTTTTCATCGACACAGACAGGAGCTGACAGCTTCTTCTGCAGTGGGGTGAGGGCCACCATGTCAAGTCAGATCAGATAAACTCTGGAGCTCTCTTGGACCTGTTCTTGGTCCTCTTACCGTCTCGAGGGTCATCCGTTCTCTTCATGTGAGAGGTGCCACCCTATCCAGGCCCAGGCCACCCTCACGCCACCCTGTGCAGGGGACCAGGGACAGGGAGGGTGGGAAAACCCTCTGCAGGGTGTGGGACAACCCCCGCACGCACACACACACCCCGTGCCTGGCCAGGGCCTGGAAGCAGAAAGCTCAGCCCAACCTCTAGTGCATGCTGTGCTGTGACCTGTTCCCCAGGGACAGCCCCTCACCTTTCAGGATGTCCCTGAGTGAGGGGCTTACCTTGCTGCTCTTGCAGGCTGAGCCCAGCCCACAGTGAAAGAAGGGAAGAATGTGGTTGCCTCCTCCAGGCTCCTCCGACCGCTCAGACCTGGTGGGGTGCAGACAGGACTGCAGGGCACCTCACACCCCAGAGCCCCCGGGAGGAGGCTGTGAGTGGGCAGTGTGTGGGCTGCAGTCGCCCTTGGAAGAGCAGGGCCACCGTCCTGGCCGCCCAAGCCTAACAGCACGTCCATCCTGTGGGAGGATGGCTCTTTGGAGGGGCCTGGGGGCATGAGCACATCTGCCTGAGGAGGGCAGAGCCTGGGATGCTGAGTCCTGTCCCTGTTTGTCACTGCTCTGGGCCTCTGTCCCAGTACCTCCGACTCCTACTACTATCTGACTTGTGCTTCTAGCCCTGGCCTAGGCTCCAGAGAAGCACTGGGGAGCAGGACCCCTGCCAGAGCATGGGGCGAAGCTTCAGACCTGGTCCTTCTATCCTGGGGACTGAGGACACTGCCCTGGAGACAACACGAGAGGCAGCGTGGGCCTGGGAAGGCGTCAGCCCCGTGTGCCTCTTTGCACTTAGGTCGCCCTTGGCCCGCACCATCCTGAGCCATCTTGGCTGTTCTGGCCAGGCCAGATGAAGAATCTTGAGGTGGGGCAGGGGTCCCCAGACATTTCTGATAGGGTGGAGGCAGAAAAGGCAGCATGGGGCCAGCCGGTCGGCCTTGGGGCGTGGCCAGGGGCTCCTCCTCCTTCTCCCTGAGAGGCCGCCCCGCACAGGCCCTTCTGCCCATGCTTTGCTGTGCTGGGGCCTCTCCCCTTCTACCCTGTGGCTTAAACTGGAGACCAGGGTTCCCTCTAGCCCCTCCAGGTCCCTCCACAGCGGCTTTACTGGCATTGGCAGAGGCACCTAGAGCTGACAGGGTAGGGGCAGCAAGGAAGGACCTGCAGCAGCACTCAGTGGTCTCGGTGGCCTCGGGCAACTGCCACAGGGCAGGCCCAGCAGCTGGGTTAGGGCCTGTGGCGACCTCATGCTCACTGCTGGGTGCAAGAGGGACTCAAAGGGTAGAAGTCAGGCCAGGGCCAGCCCCATGGGCATCTTCAACCCCAGAGGTCTGCAGGGGGGAACCCCAGGCCCAAGCCATGGGGTGAGATGCACCTTCCATGTCGACAACTGGAACGCAGCGTGTCCAGCACAGAGCTGATGGGGTTGGGCCTTGGAGAGCCTGGCTCTGGGGGGCCTCACTGCCTGGCTGTACCCAGGCAGGGCATCACCAGGGACTTTACAAGGTCCTGGTGCCAGGAGGGTTATGCCCAGGGTAGGCTCGGGTGAGAGCTGATCCCTCCTGGGTTCTGCTGCCCAGGACAGCTCAGTGTCCAGGCCATGTTGGGTGCACATCTGTTCGGGCTTTGTCCAGGGCGCCCCATGCCTGGGGTGGTAGGGCCCTGTGCACACGCTGGCACCCACTCGCCTCCCACGGGCACACTGCTCACTGCCACACTAGGGGGGGTCATGCACACAGTGTCACTCACCTGCTGCTGCTTCTCTGCCCCGTTGGCCAGGGTGGGGACCAGGTGGGCCCAGCTACTGCCCTAGACACCTGTGCCGCTGCCCTGAGCTTCCCAGGGCCGGCCCCACCTCTTCAGGGAGGCCCCACATTCTCAGGGCTTGCTGTCACTGCCTCCGGGCACTACCTGTCCTCTGAGGAGCCCCAGTGACCTCAGAGACTCAGGGCGGGTCCTGGGCAGCATGTGACAGTCATGAACCCCACAGACTCACTCCTGCGGATGTCCTCACAGCAAGTCTCCAGATCCCCTGTGCCCTCAGCAATCCTGGACCCCCTCCCTCCCTGGACTCCTCCCCGGGCTTCCTCTGTCATGGAGTAGCTGGGGAGCCTTCCCTTCTGAGCTCAGGCCCGCTCTGACGGGACCTTCATCCTCTCAGCCCCCACACCTAGCCCTCTGGGGCTTGGCCTTGGGCACCAGGATGCAGAGCACCTTGCTGTGGGGGCTTCTGGGGCCCAGACCACTGCGGTGACAGTGGCCCAGATGGGTGGACGATGACAGCTGGGGTCCAGGGCACCAGGTCCTGCTCACTGCTCTGCTGAGGTCCACTGTGCTGGGCCAGAGTAAAGCAGCCCAACCCTAACTGGGCCCGAGCCCTGCCGGAAAAGTGTCCCTGCAGCCCAGGGACCTCGCCCTGACCTCACCCTTGAGGCCACTGCTTAGGCCCGGCCCTGACCTCACACCCACTTCCTGGACCCCAGAGCAGGAAGTTCCACAAAGGCTGTGGAACTGGAGCACGCGTGTGAGCATGTGGGAGGTAGGAGAGGAGGTGCAGGATGGGCTGCTGGGAAGGACATGGGTGGTACAAGTGGACAGGGCAGCCAGCTGGGCTAGGACCCGCTCCAGAGTCAGGGGCGCGGGATCCGGCATGGGGCCAGATCCTCTTCCCAGGGACAGGGGCTTTGATCATCCACTGTCCACCCTCCAAACTCCATGCTGCAGGGGCCTGTCATGCCCCAGGCCACCCCAGTTCTGACCCTCACCTGCTCCCCTCCCACCCATGCCTAGCCTGCCAGGGAGGACAGGAGGCCAGCCAATCCCTGCGCCCTGGCCACACCCTGGACTGGCATGACCTAGAGGGTATAAATATACCTTCCTGGAGCTGACAGCCAGAGAACCCGCAGCAGCCTGCAACAGAGCTCGGGACTGGACCTAGTACATCCCCACACCCCACCCCACTGGGGGCGTGCCTGCCAGGCCGGCAACACAAGACAGCTGCTGGACACTGGCCTGTGGAGGGACACCCGCCAGGTGAAGAGGACAGGCTGGGCTGGGAGGACAGGGAAAGGACGCTGCTGGAGCCGCGGAGCCCAGAGGCTCAGAGCCCTGCCGTGGCCGGCAGAGAAGACCATGCCCAGGAGCTACTGACCCTCAGCTGCCAGGTAAGCCCAGCCCAGCATGTCTTACCTTTCACCTGCATGGCTCAGGGTGGGGCACCTCAAGAGGGTGAGGCCTGATGCCAGGGAACCAGTTCTGAGAGGGGCGGGTAGGAGAGGACAATCCTGAGGTTCCCCCAACCCTGCTAAGGCCACTGCTGCCCCAAGAGGTGGTGACATCACGCACCAGGAACCTGAGACCCCATGACATCACCGTGATGTCACATGACTCACTGGTCACAGGGACGGTTTAGTAACCTGAGCCATTTCAGCCACCCGCTTGGGACCAACCAGCAGGTGAGGATCAGGCCAGGCACAGCCCAGGTCATGGATGCTGGGGCCTGGGCTCCAGGGGGCCCTGTGGCCAGGACCTCTGAGGTGAAGGATGAGGCAGGATGTCTGTGGCTCCTGGGGTAGAGACCTGGCCCAGAGAGGAGCAGCAGACAAGTCCAGGTGGGCCCTGGTCAGCAGGGTCTTCCAGGACGGTCAGGGGCATGGAGCAGACTCTGGAAGAGGAAGGCCCTGGAGCCAGACATCCCCTTTCCTTCTCAGTGGCCAGCTGTGTGATCTCAACACTCAGGGACCAGGACGAGTGGCTGAAGCCTGCACCCCACTTTTCTGGCTATGGCTGGGGGTCATTTCCAATCCCTGCCAGACCAGGAGTCCACTGGTATCCAAGTTCAAGTCTCCCTAACTTGGCTGAAAGACCCTAGCTACCCCTCCCTCAGAGCTGCCTTCTCCACACAGGGCTATGGGTCAACCACACAGCCCAAGGGAAGCAAGGACTGTCATGGGCACTGTCGACCGAGGCATCCACTGAGCCATTGGCAAGAGCCCTAGGCCCATGGCTTTCATTCCTACAGCCCTGCTGGGCTGTCCAGTCTGGGTCACCAGGGTGCTCGGTCCTGTGGCACGCAAGGGAAGGTGGGTTACAGGTGGGCAGAAGACCTCAGCACAGGCAGAGGGAAGTCTGGAGGTGTCCATAGAGGGATGGTGTCTTCCCTGATCTGTGGGGCTGATGCTGGGAAAAAGAGCGGAAGAAAGACAGCTACAGGGTGACTTCACGGGAAAGGGGCTCCTAGAGTCGCTCATGGTAACCTCCACTTGTCCTGCAGCTCAGACCCATGTCATCAGGCCAGGAAATATGGCACACAGCTGTGCCGCCCCCCCGCCGGAGCAGCTCCACAGCCTCCTCAGTGCCTGGGTCCTCCAGCTCGGCCAGCAGCCCCAGGTCCCCCTGCACCCCGAGCTCGGAGCGGGTAGCCTCACCGTTGGAGTGCTCCATCTGCTTCTCAGGCTATGACAACATCTTCAAGACACCCAAGGAGCTCTCCTGCACCCACGTCTTCTGCCTAGAATGCCTAGCTCGGCTGGCAGCTGCCCAGCCCACAGGCCGCCCTGGCGCAGAAGCTGTGCCCTGTCCATTCTGCCGGCAGCCCACGGCTGTACCAGCTGCTGGGGCCCCTGGCCTTCGCACCAGCCGCCAGTTGCAGGCCAAGCTGCCAGTGCACCTGCGGCGGGAAGAGCTGGTGTGGCTGGAGGGCACTAAACTGTGCTGCCGCCCACTGCCCACCACGCCTGGCCAGGAGGCACCCGGCTCCGTGTGTGTGGACGTAGGCCTAAGCAAGCCCGCCGAGCCCACGCCTCCAGTGCCCATCCTGGACCCTGCCCCACGCCGGGGCCGCCTGGCCTGCCTGGCCCGCTGCTGGGAGCGATGTGCAGATTGGCGGCGCCTGGCGCTGGTCTCAGTGCTGCTACTGGTGCTGTTCTGCGTGGTTCTGTGGCCCGTGCAGTGTGCCCTCAAGACTGGGAATCTGCGCTGCCTGCCGCAGCAGCATGTAGCCACTGCCACCACTGCTGCCACCGCCCTCTCCCTCCAGCCTCTAGCTCACAGCAACTAGGATCACCAGCCAGTGGCCAGGCCTACACTCCCACCCCATCCCTTGGAGCTCAAGGCCGTGGACACCACGGGATGTCAGCCCAGGACGCCAATGAGGACTGGATTCTGGTAGGGTAGACAAAAGGTCCCCCAGAGGGTCCCAGAACCACAGGCTCCTGCAGGCCAGAGACATCCCTGACCCTAGCAAGCTGTTGGGGAAGGGGTCCAGGAGACACCTGGCCCTCCCCAGACACACTGTGAATTGCTCAGAAAAGGGGCCAGCTGTCCCCTCCCTCCATGCTGACATTTCACCAGGGTCTTCCCTGGACCCTCTCTGGACAAGGCTGGCCCCTTCCATTGGCTGGGGACGCCGAGCTGGTCCTCTGGCCCAGGGTCACACTGAGCTAAATCCCCAGCCCCTGAAGAACATTTTTAAATAAACTATTTTGTACCCATGTTTGGTGGATGTCCTCACCCTGCACGCTCCCTTCCCTGGGGGCCTCAGTCCCTCCCTTCCAAAGCCACCCCCAGCCTCTTTCCAAGGTACCCCACTGGATCACTGCAGGGACAGAGGGTCTGGGGGGCCACCCCACCCGGTGGCTCTGGACAGGCAGGGCACTTCTGGGCTCGGCTGGCAGCCAGCACAGTGACGCTCCCCCAGGAGGCAGACAAGCCTCAGCCCGGAGTCAGGGCAGAGAGGACAAAGGTGGAGCCCGAGACGGGGCCAGAGCCCAGTGCCTCTGACAGGCCCCTCTCTTCCTCCTTCTACCATGGCCATCCTGGACACACCCCCAAGAAATCATTGCCCCACGACCCACCAGGACCTGGTTACAGAGCCACAAACTCGTGAGCGCCATGAGAACTGCGGCCTGAGGGTTCTCAAGGCAGGGGTGGCAAGACCAGGGCCTCCGTCCCCTGGGCCAGCCTGATGCTGCAGTGGCACGGCAGCGTCACAAGGTCACGAGGGCTGGGTACCTCGCCCACACACTTCGCCCCACCCCGGTGTGCATCAGCCCCAGGAATCCTGCACCACCAGGCAGGCGTGGCCAAGAGGGCCGGGCTGTTCCAGCTCAGGCAGGTCCTGGCCTCCTCACCTCTGACTCCAGGGTTCTTCCTGTTCCAACCAGGGGGGCCTCTGGCAGGCAGGGAGGCAGCTCAGGGAAACACTGGCACGGTGGGGTCCCCCTGTGGGGACAGGGACCCTGGACCCTGGCCCAGGCCACAGTGAAGACAGAACTGAGAACACAGCCCTTTCCTGGAGATGTCACCTGTGATGGGCACAGGCTAATGACATCATACCCTGTCACCAGTCACGCACACATGAGCTGCATCCTTGTCACCGGGAGGGCCAGGCCTAGGGTCACACAGGCCTGCCCTAGCACACACCCTTATTCCGCAGCCCTGTCCACATGACGGTGACAGGGCCCTCACAGCCTGGGGACCTCAGGCCACACGGCCGGTCAGGTCAGGTGCTGAGCCTGTGATGTCACACACAAGCCCGCTCGGGGCAGCTGGGTCTGTGGCACACAGGTTCACCGGTGTCCCCCGCCAGCTCTCAGACCTCGGGGTGGAGGCCTAGACCCCGAGAGTGGGCCTGCTCGGGAGTCTGAGGGGTGCCCGGAGGCCCACAAACCACCTGCTACCGCCGAGTCCTAAAGCTGTGTCTGCGCCTGTCTGCCCTACGCCTGGAGCACCAGCTCAGCCGGGGGTTCAAATACACAGGCTCCTGGCGGGGAAGCCCGCGTTGGGGAAAGGGCCGGAGGTCACCACGGTGCCTCCTGCTCACGCAGGCGGGCTGAATTGGTACCGCGCCTCGTCCGCACCTTCCTGAAGGACAGCCTCCGGACGTGGATGTCCTCGTCTAGCCCCTAGGGACTGGAAGCTCAGGGCTGCCATGGGCAGGGGCGGGGCCAAGGGCGGAGCCAGACCGGGCGGGGCTAGGCAGGGGGCGTGGCTGGCCGGGAGGCCCGGAGGGTGGGGTTGGTGGGCGAGGACAAGCGTGGGCGTGGTCTCCGGGCCGGGCCGGAGCGGTCACCCGGCCTGCCGCTGAGATCCAGGCGAATCGCGGATGGCCACACTGAGAGGTCAAACCCGGTGGACCGCTGGCGAGTTCACCGGTGAGACCCAGGCCCTGCCCTTACCCGGTCCGGAGGTCCCGCCTCGGCTTGTGTCCCTCCCTCCCGTGCCTAGCCTGCACGTGCAATGAGCCACCGAGGGCCTGCAGGTCGGGCAGCTCCCTGGAGGGTTAAAGGGCGCTGCTGCCCCCGCCCTGGGAGAAGCTAGGAGGATTGCCCAGGTCATAAGGAGGTGGGGACGAAGGGAAGAGGGAGCTGGGGATCGGGCTCTATCGGGGCAGAGCGGCCCTGAAGGGTTCGAGGTGCCCACAGAATCCTCCCACGCACAGAGGCCGACAGGTGGGGAGGGGGAGATCCGCCCGAGACAGAAATAGGCACCCCTGGCATACAGAGGAGATCAGGCTGCTGCCCTGGACCAGGGAGATGTGTGGGACACGCCCTGCAGAGCAGGCAGTCTGAGGCCGCCCTGGGGCTGCCATGGCCTAGGGGCTGGGTGTTGGCTTGAGAACCTGGCTGGCCTCCACGAACACTGCCCAGAGGCCAGGCTTGCACTTTGTCCCCTGGATTAAGGGACACGGAAGCCACCAAAGGCTGGAGAAGCCAGGTTTGGGGGTTTCTGCTCAGGGCCCCACACTGGGGACTCTGATCACACGGACCCTTTGCCCACAACTCTCCCGTGCACAGTAGGACTGTGCCTGTGCTCAGCTGCTTTGCTGTCCTACAGCTCTGGCCAGGTCCATGAACACTTGTTCTGGGGGTCAGTGGTTTTTGTCAGCCCGTCTGGCAGACCAGCAACACCCTTGCCCTGTGCTCCTCAGGGACACACAGCTTCTGTCCCAGTCGGGAAAGGCTGTTTTCAGCTGGGCCAGCTGCAGCACAGGGGACTCAGAGGGCTCCAGTCCAGCGTCTCTCCACCTCTCTGGTGCTTGTGACCATAAATGTGCTCCACCCAGAAGGTGGCCACTGTGGTCTGCAGACGTGGTGGGAATGGACACTTTGCCTACTCCACAGCCTGGCTTCTCCTCTGGGCCGCTCTGAAAGAGGCGAGCCTTGACCACCTGCTGTGTACAGGACTAAAGGTCCAGAGGACAGGCCTGTGTGAAGTGGCATGGTGACTGGTGGCTCCCACACAGTTCCTGGAGGCTGGGGAGGGGCTCACGACCAGTGCTCAGGCAGGTCACTTCGGGGACCCCTCAGCACCACTGCTACCTCAGCAGCCTTCAGTCCTGCCAAGGTCCACACTTCCTTGCATCCCTTAGGACCTACTGGTGGAGCTCCGGGCTCTTATTAGGGGCACAAGGTGTCCTGTGTGATCCAGGCCAGCCACACGGGGTATGTGCCACGCACGCCTGCCTCCCTGACACACCAACCCCCTCCTGTGCTTGGCTTCATGCACGCTGTCTTCCATGCTGTGCAGTCTCGAGTCTCAAAAGAGGCAGGAGGCTCAAGGGCCACCCTCCCTCCTTGCCCCTAACCCTGCAGTGAGCAGAGGTGGGGGAAGGCCTGAGGAGCCTGGGCATCTGAGAGGGATCTCATCACACCTCTAGTGGCAGGTGCACTCCCTGCTCTGCCCAGAACCCCTGCGGGATGGCATGTGAGGGAGCCCTGAGCCTTGCTTCCCAGGGGAGGCTATTCTTACAGCTATCCTTTTTTTTTTTTGGTACCGGGGATCGAACTCGGGTCCTTGAGCTTGCAAGGCAGGCGGCGAAACCACTGATCTTGTAGCTATTCTTGAGCTTGTTCTCCAGCTGTTATGCCTCTTGGGGGTGGGTACAGGAACTGGCATTCCTGGGGAAACAGTTTTGACAGGGGCACTGCTCCTCTCCAGAGTTCTCAATGCCCAGCTCTCTTCCCCTGACCCAGCCCAGAGGACAAGCCTGGGTGATGACCAGGGCATCCCTCAAACCCTCCCTGGAGGCCTGCTTAACCTCCCTGCTGGTACCTGTGGCCAGGAGAGCTCCGACACGCAGCTCTCCGTGCTGGAGGCCTCATGGCCATGAGGGACTGGCAGGAACAGCCCACAGCTCAGGGTGGCTGCCTCGCCCTCTTCCACTCAGGCTTTTGCTCTAAACCCGGTGCCCTCGCCTCTGGCCATCCAGCTCCCCTCTCCCAGAGGGACTGTGCAGCACCCTCATGAACTCCTGTGGGGAGAAGCTGCTTGGGACTCGCTTGGGACCTGCTGGGAGGGGACAGGGTCCCAGACCCCTGCACCCTGGGACTCTTCCAGAGTGACTCTGCCCCACCTCCCACATCTTACTTCCTGTCTGGCTGTGGGGTGGCAGTGGGGCCTGGCTTGGCAGCCTGCCCTTCCCAGAGTCACAGCCCGCCCATGCCACCTCTTGGATGGCAGAGATCATGAAGTGTCTGTGCCTTGGGCTCCTGGGTTAACGCTGGGAGAACAGAACCCCAGGGCTGCTTGCTCTCTCCACACCAGAAAGCTGTTGAGTTGCCCTGTTCAGCTTGTTTTCCAGACCTGGCCTGACACACAGAAAGTGGACAAAGACCCACAGCAAGCAGACACCTGACGAACACACACAGACCTTGGCAGGGGCCAAGTCCCTCCCCCTGGCCACCCAAGGAACCTGCGGGAGTGGGACAGGCACTTTGTGTGTGGCCCACAGTGGCCACCAGGTGGCAGCATGATTCTCAGCAAGGAGGAGCAGAGCGGCCTCCCAGACTAGGATGCCCCCTTCCCAGGCAGACGCAGCTCCCTGGAGTAGGGAAACCGACGTTGGAGGAGCCAGCTCAGCTCAGGTCACCGGCAAGGAGGGCAGAGGTGGAACCAGGGCAGGACCTGCCTTTTGCACTCTCAGCCCCTGCCAGTGGGGCTTCAGGCCTGGAGGGAACAAGGCGAGGGTCAGGGGAGGGAGCTGCAGACATCCCTGAGCTAGGGACAGTGGTTTGCCTAGGTTTTGCCCTGCAGACACCACGCTTGTCCTCAGAGACAGACAGACAGACACACGCACACACGTGTGCACATACACACATAAGCCCACCCCAGGTTCCAACATAGGATCCCAGCAACCCAGAGAGGGTGCTGGAGCTGCCTGGCCCACCGCGGTGGGTCTCAGAGCAGCCTGTGTAATGCTGTGCTGTTCCTCAGCACAGGTGGTGGTGGACACTGGTGCCCTGGGTCTCATGGCACCTGGAAAGGCAGGGGTGCCAGCTGCCTCTCGGGGTACCGGGCTCCATGGTCTCCCTTCACGTGGCATCTTCAGCTTCCAGAACATTCTGGGTTTTTCCTGTGCAGCGGGCCCGGGCCTGCCCTTTCCCTGTCAGGAAGCCTGGGGACTAGGCCAAGCCCTTCCCAGACCAGGACGGGCCTTGGGAGCACAGGCCAACTCTCCCTGATTCTGCCTCCCCCAGACCCCTGTCCAGCAATCCACTCCCAGGGTCAGGCCTGGCCCACCCACCGGTGTGCCCTAAGACAGCATGGCTGGATAGTTCTGGGAAGGAACTTTGGTCTTTCCAGGACAAGGGGTGTCCATCCCATGCGCAGCCTTAGCCCTGCCTGCCACCGTGGGCTCAGGAGATGACCAGGCAGATCAGATCTAGGCCCTGCTGGAGCCTTTTCCTGGCTGCCCTGGTGCTTACAGATTACCTTCCATGTCCAGGGCAGACATGGGGTCACTGTCCACTCTACTGGTTTCCTCTCCCTTTCTTGCCACATCCTCCCTTCCAAGGGCTCCAGCCAGACCCCCAGTGGACAGCATCCCCAGGAGCTGAGGCACACTGCCCCTCCACCAGGTCCCTCAGGGCAGGTGGTGGGTCCATAGCTGCCCTCATCCTGCTGAGCCCTCCCCAAGGCCTCATGAGTTGTTCCCAGGGGCCACTGCGCCCCCCACAGGACCAGGTCCTCTGGCACCCAGTCCTCCACCGGGGCTTCCCACACAGGCTGCCACCTGCCACCCCTGGGGAGCCTGAAGACCCCCAGACAGATGTTGGGTTGAGGTCACCAGGAAGGACAGCCCTGCCCCGCACCCACCTTGCCCCTGTGGTAGCAGCAATGACCAGGACTCTGAGCCCATGGGAAGGAGGCAGGGGCTGTGCAGTCCTGGGCAGGGGGTGGCCCTAGTACACCCACCGAAGCTACAAAGAGTGTCCCCTGCAAGGTGCCAGCTTTTCACTTCAGGCCCAGACACTGCCTGGTGCCAGCCAGCCCGGTGCAGACCCTACTCAGAACAAGTGTGCAGCCCCCCAACCCGACCTCAGCCTCAGCTTCCACCTTTGTGGGAATAAGCATTCTTCCAGTGGTCCTGGTAGTTCATTAGACTGGCCTGCTGACCAAAGCAGGGCCTGGCTTGTCACCACCTTTTTCCGGGGTATTTATCTCCTCATTGACATATACTTCACTTATCAGTTTTCTACCTCCCACACCCCAGGATATAAGCTTCTTGACAGCAGAGACTGTTCTGTGTGCTGCTGTATCCCAGGGCCAAAAACAGTGCCTGGGGAACAATAAATAAATATATTTAAAGGTTTGGCTCTGTGGTGCCCACACCTGCCTTGAAAGCACAAAGTCCTGAGTTCTACCCCCAGTACCAAAAAAAAAAATAATATAATTAATAAATGTGTTTGAATTCATTAATTCAGTTTGAATTAGTGAATAACGAGGGCGGGGCATACCTGTAATCCTAGCTACTCAGGAGTCTGAGACAAGATGATTACAAATTTGAGGCCAGCCCAGCCAACTTAGCAAGACCCTGTCTCAAAATAGAAAATCAAAAGGGGATGCAGCTCAGTGGTAGGGCCTGCTGGTAGTGGTAGGGCACTCCTCAGTGTTACAGCAGTCTCTAGTACTGTTAAAAAAGTGAATGGTTCAGGAGTGGATGTGGGTGACTGGTGGATGGGTATAGGCAGGCAGATCGCTGCTTTGCTGATGGCAGGTGAGGGAGGCGAGCTGCGCCCACAGGCCTCCCCTAGCCTATCCCCCTGGGACAGACCTATCTGCACCTGCCCAGGACAAAGCCCAGGCTCCCAGGAGGGACCAGGCTGCACAACAGCCCACCTCTGAGCTCCTACCTGCTCTTTAAGTGACTTTGTCCCAGCCTGTTTTCCCTTCAGGGTGGGGATTTCTGGGCTCAAGAATTAATTGCAGTCATGTGGCTGACCCAGAGCCTCTGTGAATGTCGGCAAAAAGAGCAGCACCAAGCCAGGTGTGGAGGCACATGCCTATAATTCCAGAAAGCCGAGGCAGGAGGCTCTCAAATTTGAGTCCAGTCTGGGCAACTTAGTAAGACCAAGGGCTGGGGATGTAGCTTAGCACAAAGGCCCCGGGGTGGGTCCTAGTACTGGAGAAGGACAGGGAGGAGAGAAGGAGGGAAGAGGGAGACAGAACGGAGGGAAGGAAGGCAAGGCGGCGTAGGGAAGAGCAGGCAGGACGGCGGAAGGGCTGAGCAGTGGGTGCCCTCCCAACCCTTCAGCAGTGACGCCAGTGCCGATGGCCTGACCGCCCTGCCACAGCAACTCCGTCCTCGCGGGAGGCTCTGACGTCTTGTCTTGAGTCGCCTCCCACAGGCAGCATGAGCAGTTGTGCCCAGGCCCCATAGAGGAGTAAACAGGGCACTAATGCTGAGGCCCGCGGGAGGGCTGCGGGCCATCCAGGTGGGTTCTGTCCCGGCCCAGGTGGACTCCTCAGTCGGAGCCCCCAGCCCCTCCCCAGGGAAGCTGCTGAAGTTTCTCTGGAAGGGAAATCAGGTCATCCTGTTAAAGAGCTCATGGCTTCTGGAGCCAGACCCCCGCCTGCACCCTGCCAGGCCCGCTGCTCCCCCTGGGCCAGACCCCTCCAAGGACCCACACCAGCACCTAGGCTGAGCTGTCAAGTGCAAATGAGCGCAAAAGTAATAAAAACAACACGTCAGGGCCTTCACTGTCCACTGAGCAGCTGGGTGAGGCGAGGGTGACACAGGGCAGGTGCGGACACCTTGGCACAGACCTCTGGCTGCGCTGTGCTGCCCCAGCTCTGCTGAAACCCACAGCCCCTACCGTGGTCTGGCCTGGGGCCTGGGGCTGCACCCTGCCCCGGCACCTCCTGTGCTGGCCCTGGCACACGTGGCTCCTGGTGGAGGGTCCTTACACCCACTGTGCCCGCACGGGCTGCCATCTCCAGCTGGTTAGCTGCTTCCAGCCTTTCCTGAAGCCAAGGGTACTCTGGCCTCTGCCTGAGTTCCAAGTTCCTGCCCTGAGGGACTCAACTGTGTGCAGCCTTATGGGCCTCTCATCCCATCCCAAGTTCCACCCCCTGCCTGAGCAGGCGCCCAGCACCTGCAGGAGCAAGGAAACAAAGAAGGAATAATACAGTGAATGCCACAGCAGCACATGGTCTCTGGGTCCGGGATTTCAAGGTTTTCTTTGGAGAGGATTCTTTCATTAACATCAAGTCAAAACAACACACCTTTTGTCTTTAGCTCCATAAGGCTCTTTCTTTCCCAGCGCCTCCTGAGATGCTTGGCCTGCGCCAGGGGTCACCCATAATCCCACCAGGGCTCCCTGGTCAGCTCTCCCGGAAGCGCCAATGGCTGGCCTCTCTCGCCCAATGTCCCTAGCTTGTCCCCATGCTGTGCTCAGACACAGGGGGCTGCTCCATGGCAAACACCCACCACAGCCTTGCTGTCCCCAACGAGGGCCCTTGGAGTAAACTGTGCACCCTACCACAGCCCCTTGGTGCAGGCCATGTCCTCTAACCAGAGCCTCTAGGGAATCTTGAGGCCCGTGTCCCCACTATGAAGCTGGGCAGAAAGCCCCCAAGCTCAGAGCTGGCAGGTGGTGAGCAAGGACACACATAGCCCCTCTTTGTTTACAGTCTTTATTTCACGGTGTTTGATGGACTTATACTGGAGTTAGTAACAAGACCCCAGACGCTCCCTCCTGCCTCCCCCTCCCCTGCAGGGGGGCCAGGCTGCCACCCTAGCAGCCTTGGATGGCCCTTGAACAGTTTGCACAGAGGGCGGGGAGTGGTGAGGATGGACGCTATGGTTTAAGGCGTTTCCAGCTCCACTGCCATCTCTGCCACACCGGCCCCTGGCCTTCGGCTTTGGTCAGGCACCAGGCTGTCCGCTCTCAGATGAGCACAGCCTCCCTCATGTGGACCTGGTCTGCAACCTGTACTGCTCTGGGGTCAGGGCAGGACAAAAGGTGTGACCTTCGGGCATCAAACGAGACCAATGTTTGAAAACGCGGTGGGTGTCAGGCCCGGACACCCACCCCTGAGGGAAGGAGCCCACGCCACACAGCGGACCCCTCCTTGAGGAGCTCCTCACTGGGCCTGAGTGTAGGAAGGGGGCTACATCCAGGGTGGGTGGGCCAGGCCGAGTGAGGGTGCCCTAGGGGAGCCTGGCCATGGACTCTGTTCCCCGGCACCCTGGGGCTAGCAGACACACTGGGGGCGTGGGGCCTGGGCCCAAAAGGAACATTGTTTCTAAGTCACAGTACTGGCACGGAGGGCCCCGGGCTCCAGGCTAGCCCAGATGAGGCTCTCCCACAGGACACACAGGCAAGAGCAGTGTAAGTGGGAACCAGAAGGCCCCAGGGGCTTGCTCGGAGGAAGGCCCCATCCAATCCAGCTGCTCCCCTGCTCTGGGACATGGACCTCATCTGACAAAACATGGTAACATGGGGAGTGGAGTCTGCCAACGGGGTCAGGAATGCCAGGGACCGACAGGTGAACACGCTGGGGACACAGTGCACAGGGCTGTGGCAGAGGGGCAAGTCCTGAGGCTGCCATACAGCACTGTGGGGCCTGGACACCAGGCCTCTGCAGCACAGCTGCCTGGACAGAAAAGAGGCCAGGTCAGCAGTCCCTCTGGCCAACACACAGGCAAGAAAATCATATTGAAAAGCAACAAGTTTACAAAAATAAAAAATAATTACAGCAGGGTGGGCTGGGGCTTGGGTGCCGGTCAGGGGGTGGGGCAGGGCCGCAGCTCCGGCCTGGCGACTGCATCTTCCAGCAGGTGCAGCGGGCGCCCACTCACCACCACGTCCCGCAGGCAGCCCACGAAGCCTGTGCTATAGGCCTTGGGTAGGGCCTGGCCCACGGGCAGCTTCCGAAGCCCCCCTGCAGGACAGACAGAGGGAAATCACTCAGCTGCTGTGATGGGCAGAGGGCCATCGGCGCCTGGGAACAGCGCCCAGCTGCTGTGTCCACGCACGCACTCCTCCTCCTGGCCCTGAGGCTGCAGGCCTGTCGCGGCTGCCCACTGCTGCCCCAGGACAGGAGCTGTCTCAGACATTCTGACAGCGCCGATGTCCTCCCTGGCCTCCCCCGAAAAACTCACCGAGCCACAAGGCTCCATCTGTGTCCAGCTGTGTGGCGCCCAGCGGGGAGGAGCCAGTCACAGGGGCTTCGTTGCCCACCTGCAGGGACCCTTCCCGCTGCTCCCTGAGGGTGCGGGTGGGCAAGATGATCAGTGCCCTGTCTGCCCGACACTGAGCCCCGTATCCCTGTCCCATACCACACAGGTGCCATACCCTGGAGGCCACCCCAGGAGTCGTGCCTGGGGCCAGGATGGCAGCAACAAGTCCCTGGCCACGAGGGCTTCCCTCACTCCTTCTTGTTCCCCTCCCTCCCTCCCTTTCACAGCTAGTAAGCCTGTCAGGCATCTGGTGACCTCCAGAGCCCAGATATGAGCTGGCTGGGTGTTGCCCACTGTATTCATGGGGAGCCACTGACCTGTGAGCCCTGACCCGCAGCCAGCGATTGGTGTTGACCTTCACAGTGGAGCGCAGCACCACAGGCTGGGAGCCCAAGTCATAGCTCAGCTGCAGGCACCCATCCACAATGGCCAGAGCCACATAGTCAGTGCGCTCTGTGGCTTTGCCACTCCACAGCACCAGCCCCTGAGTGGCCTCAGTGCGCAAGCTCAGTTCAAAGTGGTTGCTCTGCAGCGCCTTCTCGCTGTGGGGGAAGGGCAGGGCAGGTCAGGCCTTCGGGAAGGCAGCAGGGCACGGGGTGGGGAGGCAGGAGGGCTGGAGCTGGTGATGCGACCCAGGGCAGCTGCACAGGCAAGGGCAGCAATAGCAGGGTCGGGGAGAGGCAGACAGATGGAGGGACGGAGCGGCAGAGAAACAAAGAGAGACCGAGACAGTGGGCAGGCACACAGCAGGGCAGGGCCCGGCCAGGGTCTCAGGCACTGCCATGTGCTCACCTGTGAAGGGCCCCGGAATCTGCAGTTTCCGGGCTTAGAAGCAGGGAGAGAGGGAAGCAGTGAGGGGGGGCAGATAGGCTGAAGTCCCCTTTTCCACACTGGCAATCATCCACTAAGGCATGCACAACCCCAGTTCTACCGGCCCAGCCCCTAGAGAGCCTTGGCAGGGATATGTGTGCCACATGTGTGTGCAGACACAGCGGGGCATCGCCCGGCAGGGTGCAGAGGAGATGGGGTGAGGCAGAGAGCTCACCTGCCAGGGGGTGGCAACCGTCCTGTACCAGTACGTGTGCGCGCACACACACACAAGAACACACACGCGCACGCACACAGGCTCATTCTTCATCTCACACACACCTATGTTTCACATGAACACGGGAACACGTGGGCTGTGCACACGCGTGCACATATATTCACAGCAGATATGCACACTGCATGTGTACACATGGAAACCTGCACATAAATACATGGCCCGTGTGCACACTCGCCCTGCTGCTGTGTATGGGGTGATCATGGGGGGTGATGCAGCCAGCCCTCGGCATGGGTCCTGGGAGGGAGAGATCCCCACTTCTAAGGTTGGGGTTGAGCCTTGTGTAGCGCAAATGAGCCCTGACACCCATCCTCCACCCAGGATGGGAAGCTCTGCTCTCAGTGGGGCTAGGACTGTGCTGCCAGGCAGGGGGCACATGATGGACATAACAGCATGGGGTAGATGGAGACCAGAGGCTACTTACACTGGGATCTCATTGGCCAGTTCGCTTGGAAACAAAGAGACAGACACAGTGAGAAGGAAGGAGGGCAGTGGTGGGGCAGACACTGGCCCTGCCCCCCTCCTGGTACAGAGCCAGTGGGCTTGTGGGGTTCTGGTGTCCTGCTCTGCTCTGCTGGCATGCACAGACAGGAACAGACAGACAGTGGTGGCGGGGGGGTGCCTGGCTCCTGGAGGCACATTACCTCTCCCTCACAGCGTTGAGGTACTCGATGTAGGTCTGCCCGTCAAAAGCCAGCGTCTCCAGGTCCCTCGCTGACTTTTCAACCAACCCTGAGAGACAGGCCATCACACGGGCCCCAGGCAACCCGAGCCTCACCCAGCCCTAGCCATGTGCTGCCAGAGCTCACCTTTCTCACAGTGCAGCCCTGAGAAGCCCGGAGGACACAGGCACTCGTAGGCGGCCTCCCGTGGGAGACACGAGGCTCCGTTGAGACAGGGGTGGCCCTGGGCTTGGGTGCAAGGGTGGTCAGCAAAGGGCGAGACGCCCACTGCCTGCAGGACATGCTCCTGGGCCAGCAGCTGGCGGCCTCCCAGGGAGATCTGCAGGGCACAGGGGCAAGGCCCTTAGTCCCCTAGTAAGTAGCCTCACCAAAGGTCTTTCCTGTACCCGATCCCCACACACAGCCCTGGAGGTGGGCTCCACCCTATCCCTCGTACCAGCTGGATGGCACCGTCAAAGCCGGAGGACACCGCAGCTGCCCGGGCCAGCTTGCTGAAGTCAGGGGCACCCCCCACATACAGCGGCTCCTTCAGGTTGAGCACGGTGTGTGGCACCTGCAGGAGGCACCGGGTGAGGGGCTCCGCGGGGCCCAGCAGGGAGGGAAAGGCCAAGTGCACCCAAGTGCCCTGAGCTCGGCGCCGCTCCCTAGGAGGCAGCGTCAGCCAGAGAAACAGAGACGCAGGGGTTAGTGGGAAGGGGCTACTCTAGGCGGGCCGGAGGTGATGGTGATGGCAAGGCTAAGAGGCGGACAGTACCTTGTGGGATTTCTGACATCCGGAGAGCGGGTGGGGGTGCAGAGCAAGAGCCAGAGAGCAGTGAGGGCAGAGAGGACAGACGAAAGGAAACAGTCCTGTGAGAGCCAGCCAGGGGCTGCCCAGGCCCTGGGCGCGGAAGGGGTGGGAGGCAGGGCGGGTGGAGGCCGCGGCCCCTCTCCTCCCAGCACTCACCGGGGACTCCCCCAGCACCCGAGGCCCATCGCCCACGCGCAGCACACCCTTGCGGCCATTTCGCTCCAGGGAGACTCTTGTCCAGACGCCCGGGGCCACAGGCTCCTTGCTCCTGTGGGTACAGCACTGTGAGCAGGCTCCGAGGCCTGCTGGGCAGGACGGCGACCCACCATGCCCCAGGCACATCTCCACCAGGGACGGCTCAGCACCGGCCGCCCACCCTCACTTGCCCACCTGATGACCGCAGCCCCCTTGCCCAGGTCATAGCGGAATTCTAGGTGCCAGTCACGCAGGGCCAGGGACACAAAGTCGCCCCTGCCATCCGTCTTCTGCCCATTGTAGAGTAGCAAGCCACTGGGACCACGGGTGAAGAACACAAGCTCCAGCGCCATCTTCTCCCTGGGGTCACACAGCGTTGTGGGGGGGCCCACAGTTCCCTCCCCACCAGCTGTCCCAGCCCCCGGTCCTGCTGACCCCAGGTCTCGTTCAAAGGTGTGCAAGCCTCTCAGTTCCAGGTAGGAGAAGCCGCTGAAATCAGCCAGGAAGGGCTGGGAGCCAGGGTCCTTCTCTGAGACTGTGGAGAACCAGATGGGGGGGGTCTCTCAGGGCTGCAGGTGCTGACCCCTGGGGTCTCCTGCACCCCCACTGCCTCAAAACCCTGTGCCCGATTCAAGCCTGGCACCTGTCCAAGTCCTAAGCCCCATGGGACTGAAAAGCTGCACCACAACTCAACCCTGACACTTGAGTATAACACCTCCCACTGCCCACCGTGGCCCCTACCTGTCTGGCACAGAGTGCCCTCACGCCCAAGGGGGCATCTGCACTTGGCAGCCCCCTCAGGCAGCACGTGGCACGGGGCTGCTCCATGGCAGGGGTTTGGCTGGCAGGGGTTCTTCTTGGTGGCACAGGTCAGACCTGAAGGGACAATGATGGCGGTCCCAAGAGACAAAGACCCTGCCTGAGACGCCGGGTTTCACCCTCCGCACCTGGCCCGAGCCCACGCTCACCAAAGTGGCCTGGTGGGCACTGACAGCGGAACAGGCCAGCCTCAAGCGCTCGGCACGGCGCTCCGCCGCTGCAGGGGTTTGGCTGGCAGGGGTCATCCCCACACTCGCCCACACCAGAGCTCTGGGCTGCAGCTCCCTGCCAGCTGCCCAGCTCCAGTCGCTGGTTGTTAATGTCCAGCAGGCGGATGCAGCCCTTCAGGCCAACCCCAACGGAGGTCCGCTCGAGCACCCTGGCATTAGGACAGGGTCAGGGGTCAGAGGCAGAGGCAAGAGGTGTTCTCTCTCACAGCCCACTGTAACCCCCGGTACCCCACAAGATGGGGTCAGGGCCTCCCCCATTTCCAGATGCCCGCAAGGTGGCCAGTCCCATAAACCACAAAGTCAGAAGGTAGGGTTGAGGGTTAAACATCAAGACTGAAGGTCAGGGCCAACAGAACCAGGGTGGCATCACAAAGAGGCCAGGGGCAGGACAGGTCACGGGCTGGGGTCGAGGCTAGATCCACAGCCACCCCACCCTGTTAGCATGCACAGGAATCTCGGCCCAGAGTCAGCGCTGGGGCCTGAGCCCTCAGAGACACTCCAACCTACTCCTACTCACACAGCAGCTTGGTCCTCTGGGATGCCACCCACGAAAAGGTCCGTGTCCAGGTTAAGGCCATCCGTGCCGCTGGGGCTCTGGCCCACAACAGGGCTCTCACCATCCACAGAGAGTGTGCCCTGGCGCCAGTGCCTTGAGAGTTCTAGGCGATGCCACCGGCCCAGTTCCACAGGCACGGAGCTCGTCAGCACTGCTGGCCCAGAACCCGTGTCAAACCTGGGACAGGAGAAGGGACTCAGGGAAATGACCCGGCTCAGGCTACCAGTGTCCCCCAGCTTGGCCCCACCCACCCAGGCTGCAGGTGACAGGGCTCCAACCACACTCTGGCCCCGCCCCTGCAAGCCCCAGAAGACCCCGCCCATTCCACCAGCCCACACGCATCCCTTTGAGCGGCCAGGCCCCGCGCCTGCCATCACCCCGCCCCCACCCCACCCCACCCCGCCCACCTGAGCTGCACCCGGCTGCTCTGCAGAGCCAGTGCCAGGAAGTCTTTGCCGCGGTTGTTCCCATTGTACAGCAGCAGCCCCTGCGGCTCCAGAGTCCGGAATTCCAGTGCCAGGCGCAGGGTATGGTAGGCGCGGAGGGTGGGGAAAGCCAGGAAGGAGTGGCCCCAGAAGGCAGGCACAGGGGGGCGCAGCGCTGCAGGGAGCAGGGAGGCTGGCTACAGGAGGGCACCCCTGTGGCTGCACAGCCCGGTGCCGCCGCCGAGCCTGGACGCTTGTCGCCCGCGCTGCCCACTCACCCTCCTCGCAGACGGTGCCGCCCCGGCCCACTGGGCAGCTGCAGCTGAAGCCTTGGCCAGAGTCTTGGTCTTGGCAGGTGCCCCCGTGGAGGCAGGGCTGGGAGGCACAGGGCCTCGGGGGCTGCTGGAGGCCGGGGGGCAGGGGCCGGTGTCCTGCCGTGCGGCTGGGGGCTGTGGTAGGCGGCCGGTGCGTGGTGGGAGGTGCTGTGGTCCTGCCAGTAGGTCGGCTGGTGTGACTAGGGTGGGCCCGAGGGGTCACAGCAGACAAGGGCAGCTGGCCCGTGGTGGTGGCTCTGGCCGTGGCTTCAGTGGTGGCTCCTGTGAAGGAGGCTGGAAACCAGTCTGTGGGGCAGGCTGCTGTCAGGCCCTGCAGGGGCAGGGCACAGGGGAAGGGGACCCAGACTTGCTCACAGAGTGCTTACCAAAGTCCATGAATTGCACATGTTCCTGTAGAGGCCTCCGCACCATCAAAGCCTGACGCCGGGATGCCTGGATCTGCCGGAGGAGTGCCCGGCCCACGTCCGGAGCCCTGAAGGCTGTGGCTGAGGAGGAGGAAACACTGAGCATGGCCTAGCCCTCTGCAGCTCAGCCATCGTCTCCTGGGAGGGACCTGGGCTGGGGAACTCACTGGGCTCAAAGTGCACATCCACAATCGCTCGCAGCAATCTGCCAGGCCCGAGGTCCCTCAGGTGGACACTCCGGAAGTCCTTTTTGACATCCGAGTTTCGGAACAGGTCATCCAGCTGCCAGTAGGGAAAGGGTGAGAACATGGGGTGCCGGCCACACCAGCTGCAAGTGGTCCTGGGCATCAGGGCCTGGGCTGGCACTCAGGCTGCATCCCACTCACTGAACTCTCGATGCTCCGGGCAGTCTCCCCAAACAGCTCTGACTTGGGGTCAGCCATCTCGGGCGTGTAGAACAGCTCCTGTCCCTCGACTCCCTCCAGCTCAAGCACTCCCTGGAAGGCCTTGGTGTCTGTGGGGGAAGGGTGGTGAGGCTCTGCCTGGCACCTCCCTGGCCTCCTGGGCCGGCCATGGGCACCGGCACCCACGGTGAGCTGCGTGGGGCACAGGGGCAGGTGGGTGTTAGTCAGATGGTCATGAGGTTAGTGAGGACCCCGGGCAGGGCTGGCGTCAGTTACCAGGTGGACTCCTCGGAGCAGGTGCCCCAGGTTGGCTTGCAAGGAGAGAGACGGTTAGGCAAGGGTCTCGGCATGCACGTGTGTTTGGGGGCTTAGACCACACGTGTGCTTGTGTGCTGAATCCTCACACGCATGTGCTAATGCCACCAGACCACAAACCCAGTACCGACCTGCTGCAGAGGGTGGGCACAGCACCGGGTGTGTCCAGGCTGCTCTCCAAGCTTCATCCTACTCCCACCACCCACTTACCAGGGCAGTTGGAGCCCTCGGTGTCCAGCGAGGGTGTCTTGCCATCTGAACAGCAGCCCAAAGGGGAGTTGTAGCAGGAAGCCCTCTCAATGGGTGGCCCAGGGGTCACCATGCTGATCCCCGTGGGGAGTTCAAGTCCTGAGGAGGTATCATCTGAATTCAGCCCCAGGGGGCAGCTTCTTCGGACTCTGCCCCCATGTTCCTGAACTCAGCCCTGCTCACCCCTGCCCTGTCCCTGCAACCCCAAACTCCTGCCCACTCCAGACCTGCGCCCAGGACCCCGAACTCCTGCCCACTCTGAACCTGCTGACAGGCTCCTGAGCCCCTGCTTACCCCCAGAGCCTCCCCCACTGGCCTCCTGGTCTCCACTGAGCTCCTCGTCACCGCTCCCAGCAGTGCTGCCAGATTCGCCGGAGGCCGGCAGGGCAAGGCTGGTGCCAGTGGAGGCTGCGGTGAGGGCCGTGGTTGGCACAGGCCATACGGTGGGCCTGGGCATGCTGGCTGTGGTCCGAGGTCGTGATGTGGGTGAAGGGGTGGGCTGGCTGCTGGGGATGCCGCTGGGTACCAGGGGCGGTGCGCTGGGGGTGGGCAGCAGCGCCTCACTCCGGACAGGCTCCAGGGTGGTCGCAGATGCAGACGTGGGGTGTGTGCCAAGAGCATCGGCATCTGCAAGGAGAGAGCTTTCAGTCAGGGCAGGCAGAGGCTCCCGGTCATTCTGGGCAGAGGCTCCCAGGCTGTACCTTGGCACGGGCCGAAACTCTGCGTAGAGATGTCCAAGCCCTGGCGGCAGGCAATGGTCTTCAGCTGGCACTCGTTGCCGTATGTGATGCCATCGGACCCACAGACCTGGGTCACAGGACGGGAATGCTCAGGCAAGTCCTCCCCACCCAACTGCCCTCCACATGCTCTTACCCTCACCTTGGTGGCATTGGCCTCTGGGCACGTGAGGGCTGGGCAGACACAGTGGGCAGAACCAGCTTCCTCCACACAGGAGGCTCCAAACTCACAGTGCACCTCCGCGCAGGTCCTGGGCACCGAGGAGCCTGAGGCAGACCCGGGACAGCCCCGGCTCAGGCGATCTCTCCCGCACGGGGAGCCCCACATCCCCACCGGTCCTCGCCCTCACCTGCGTCACAGCCAGCAGGGCCCAGGGCTTGGCCATCTGGACACTGTCCACACTTGGGCCCGGCCACGCCTGGCCTACAGGAGCACAGTCCAGTCATCTGCTCACAGTCATCCCGCATGGCACCCCGGGGGTCACAGCTGCAGGCTGGGGGAGAGGGAGAAGCCTGATGTCTGCACCTGTGCGGGCCTCCCACCTGCTTCAGAGCCCTGCTGGGTAGAGGCCAGGCCGGCAGGGCGCCACTCACGAGTGCAGCCACTCAGGTTGTCGGTGACAATACCACGGAAGTTCCAGAAGCCAGGCTCACAGCGGGCGCACTTGAGGCCCCCCACGCCAGGCCGGCAGGAGCACTGGCCTGTGACGGGGTCACAGGTGCCGCCGTAGGAGCCGTGCGGGTTGCACTGGCAGAGGCCTGTGGCAGAGGAGAGGGAGCAGAGGTCACAGTGGCTGCAGAGCTCCGCCAGGCCAGGGCTCAGGGCTGGCTCGGTACTCACCGGGGCAGCCAGCCAGGCCCACACCCCGGGCAGCGGTCACATTGTCCTGGCAGCAACCATAGGGGGTCTGGGCACAGTGCGGGAGAACCACGGGTGGCAGCGGGACCAACGTGGGAGCTGTGGGAAGGCACAAGGTTGAGACTTCATGCCGTGCTGGACACACATGCTTGGCGGCCACTCTGCCTCCCCCTCCCCATACCAGCACCACTGAGCCCTCTTGGCCCCAACCCCACTGGGGCCTGAGGGTCTGAGCTGGGTTTACTACATCAAACACAAGGACACATTTGTGAGTGCAGGACCCAGAACACACAAAAAACAGGGGCCATTTACACACAGAATACTCCAAAATCACAGCCCCACAGCCCCACACATACACAGCTAAAGCCACACACACACAGATAAGTGTGTCTCTGCAAACTGGCACACGTATACATGGAGATGTGCATAAGAGGTGTGACAGAAAAATAAGCTGAATGTTTTATAAAAAACTTATTACGAAAAACACACTGCTGTTAATTTCCCTCCAAATACTCTCCCTCACTTAGAATAATCTTATCCCACTGTTCTTGCCACTTTCTGAAGCAGTTGTAGTCTTCTTCTGTAAATTATCTTTAGCAGTGTTGTCCTGGCTGCCTTGATGTCATGAATTGATTCAAAACCTTTCATAGTCATTTGACTTTGGGGAAGAGCCAGAAGTCACATGGTGCCAGATCTAAGGTGAATAAGGTGGATGAGGATGCACTGTCATGTTTTTACAAGCCTGGCTTTCCAGTAGACAGCACTTAGTAGAAGAGGTCATTGTATTTTTTTTTTTTTTTTTGGTACCGGGGATTGAACTTGGGTCCTTGCGCTTGCAGGGCAGGCAGCAGAACCACTGAGCTAAATCCCTGGCCCTGGTCATTGTATTTTTAATCAGACCTTATAAAGTCTGTTCACAAAAGAAGATTTCCAAAACTGCTTCAAAAAGTGCCAAAAACATGAGATAAGTGTGTTCCAAGCAAAGGGGAGTATCTTGAGGGGAATTCATGGCAATGTGTCTTCTACTGTAATAAATTTTTTTTTTTTTGGTACCTGGGATTGAACTCGGGACCTTGTGCTTGCAAGACAGGCGCCGGAACCATTGAGCTAAATCCCCGGCCCTGTAATACATTCATTCATTCTTTCTTTTTCTTTCTCTCTCTCTCTCATTTATTTATTTATTTATTTATTTATTTATTTATTTATTTATTTTGGTACCGGGGATTGAACTTGGGTCCTTGCACTTGTGCAGCAGGCAGCGAAACCACTGAGCTAAATCCCCGGCCCTGTAATACAGTCATTCATTCTTTCTTTTTCTTTCTCTCTCTCTCTCTCTCTCATTTATTTATTTATTTATTTATTTATTTATTTATTTATTTATTTTGGTACCGGGGATTGAACTTGGGTCCTTGCACTTGTGCAGCAGGCAGCGAAACCACTGAGCTAAATCCCCGGCCCATACATTTTTTAAATGTAAGTATTTACTATATACTTTGACCACATATTATACATGCGCATTTTTTTTCCTGGTACGGGGGATCGAACTCAGGACCTTGCGCTCATGAGGCAGGCGTGATGCCACCGAGCTAAATCCCAGGCCCCATATGTGCTTTTTTGAGACAGTCTCACTCTGTAATTCAGGCTGGCCTTGAACTCACTATGTAGCCCAGGCTGGCCTCAAACTCTTGGCGATCTTTCTGCCTCAGTCTCCCTAGTGCTGGGATTACAGGCCTGTGCCACCATGCCTGGCTGTAAATGCACATTAATGCCCGGAACTGCCGGGAGCACTGTGCTGTAGATCACTATGGCCAGGCCTAGCTTGCCTCTTCCCAAGGATGAGGCAGGGCCCTGAGTGAAACAAAAAACACATCTTGTTCGCTTCTTCCCATGGATAAGGCAGGGCCCTGTGGGAGGAGAACAGGTGACAAGAGGGCCTGGTAGAGCAAGGCCTGGCCAAAAAGATGTGTCAGCGGGCCAGGATGTAGCTCAGTGGCACCACGCCTGCCTGGCAAGTGCCAAGGTCCTGAGTTCGATCTCCAGTACTGCAAAAAAAAATAAAAGGCACCATCTACCAAGAAGTGCCTTCCTCCCCGCCCATTTGCCATAAAACCTTCAAAGCATGATACTCTGCAGACCTTAGCTGCTCTCCCGATTCTGATTCCGGTTACAGACCAGCCCCTTCACCTCCTCCCGCATTCCCTTATCTCTACCACTATGAATAAATGGCTGCAGTTACCAGGCAGCCCTTTTCTCCCATCAGGAGGGAGGCTCCACCTGGCCTCAGCTTTGGCCTCAGTATCTCTGTCTGTGTTTTCTTCATCCCCCACTGTTCTCCCTCTGTGGACCCTTCAGGCATGCAGGCCGTAGCAAAACTCCTAAACCATACACATTTCCATACACCTGTGCAAGCATGCATCCGTGTGTGTGCACAAGCTTGTGACAGATGTGACACCTACACTTGATCACTGTCATTCTCCGCCCACAAGTGCCTGAAGGTACTCCACCTGCCCATGTTCCTGGTTGCCTCCACTGAGGGCTGTCCCAGCTGGCGGAACACTTCCTCCACACTTGCTAACAGACACACTCCAACTGCACAGCAGTGCATACCTACCGTAACATTGGTACACAAGCCCAGGAGAGCACACACGCGTACTCACGCACACACAGGCACTCCAAAAAGGTACAAGCTCGTGTCCCCACGTGCCCAGGCCCTCCCTGCACAGGCCCACTCACTGCGGCAGGCTCCCGGCGCCGCGACGTACAGCCCTCTCTGTGACTCGCACCTGGCCTTCTTCAGGTCACACTCGGTGTCATAGGTCACCCCATCTGAGCCGCACACCTGCAGGGGTGCGGGTCAGTGTGGCAGCCTCAGCCCTTTACTCACTGCCCACTTGGAGTGCGGGTGCGGAAGTGCTTACTGGGCTCCTCAGGACACTCTGGCAGCTGAAGTCACAGACACACAGCCCATCCTCTGAGTCCTCGTCCCAGAGGCCACCGCGCTGCTGGCACAGGTCCCGCTCACACTCGCCATCCTCCCCAGAGCCAGAGCCTCCTGAGCCGCATTCGGCTACAGAAAGAGAACCGAGTCACCCGGGGGCACCTTCTGGAGGCGGGTGCCCAGCAGCTAACACCAGCGGCCCCAAGCCGACCTTGCTCGCAGGGCCCGGCCCGGGCCTCCTCAATCTGCACCTGCTGCTGGCAGGCAGCTTCCCGCAGGTCACACGCACTGGGGTAGGTGACTCCGTTGCTGCCACAGACAGGGCCGGGCGGGGGGTCCTCACACCGAGGACATACACACTGCCCTGCCGAGCACACGGCCCCAAAGGCACACACTGCATCCCCACACGTCTCTACAGGAGACAGAGCCGGGCAGGGGTCAGCAGAGCTTGGCCAGAGTCCGGGGACCCTGGCCCACCTGGCCTGTCGCCCCACTCACGGCAGGGTCCGGCCGAGACCACGTGCAGGCTGATCTGCTGTGTACAGGCGTGGACGTGCAGCTCACACTCACTGGCATAGGTGTGCCCGTCAGAACCACACACAGGCTGGGCTGAGGCCACGCACTCAGAGGGGCATATGCAGCGCCCAGTCTCAGCCTCACACAGAGCTCCAAAACGGCACTGGCCACACTGGTCTGGGGAAGGAGCTCAATCACCATGCCGGCCAGAAGGGCTATCCTACCCACCAGACCCACTGCCCACCACCGACCACAGGACCCTCGGCAGGCCACCCAGATCTCCTGCCCCAGGGCACAGCCAGGGCCCGCAGCTCGCACACGCTGCCGTACATATGTGGCACCGTGACTGCCGCACACAGGGACGCAGGTGCCTGTGCACACCTGCTGGCATGCACATGCAGCCTCCCCAGTTTTTACTGCACACGCCCCCCCCCCCCCGAATGCACACTGAACTTCACAGCACGGGGATGGGGCCTGGGCTGGGGAGGACACAGCACCCAGCCCACCTCAGCCTCCTCACTTGCTGTGGGCAAAGCCCCCAGCCCCACGCAGCATCCCCCTCCCAGGGTGGGGATGGCAGAGGACGAGCCAGATGTGCAGGACACAGCAGGGAAAGGGACAGACACACCACAGAGGCAGATGGGGACAGAAGCCTCCTAACTGCCCACAGCAGAGCACTGACCGACCCCTGACCACCAGCAGACCCAGGCCACCCATGGACACGAGGGATTCTCTCGCCACGGGTGGAAGGAGTCTGCACCCGAGTCACCCCCAGGGCTGCATGGGGGAGGAGGTGTCTGTCCACTTGCTCTGAGGACCACAAGGCCAGGCAGCAGCGAGCCACCCCCCCAGCCATGCCGGGGGCAGACCTCGGGCTGTGGGCTCCTGGCGGGCAGGCGCGGCACCTCATCCTGCCAGCAGGTCAGGCTGGAAGACACAAGAGGCGGAGCCGAGAGGGAAGGACCGGAGGAGACAGACGCAGAAAAAGAGACCAGGAGGGCCGGGGATTTAGCTCAGTGGTTCCGGCGCCTGCCTCGAAAGCGCAAGGTCCCGAGTTCGATCCCCAGTACCAAAAAAAAAAAAAGTGAAAGAGAGACCAGAAAGATGGACAGTGCACTGACAGAGTCGGACAGAGGCAGGCAGGGCTACAGCAGCCCTGGCCCCCATGGGACACACCTACCACTGCCCGGCTGCCTCCACCCTCCCCTGGCCCCTTGGATCCCAATGGAGATGCTGCCTAAGGAGGCTGGTGGCCATGTCCCAGGAGTGTGGGAAGCCTGGTGTCATGTCCACTCCTGCCAACCCAGGCTGTCTGTGCCCTCCTGCAGGACAAGACTGATGGAGAGGTGGGGCAGAGGGCTGGCAGTGACCAGCGTGGGCAAGGGTGGGCCTGCGTCTGTCCCACTCGCCAGAGGTCCCGGACACCCACGCCAGAGCCTCCCATCACCCGGAGCGACTCCCCTGGCCCAGAGTCCAGGAGGTGTAAGATGAGCGATGAAGATGGCATGTGAAGTCAGACAAGGACCGACGCGGGAGCAGGGGCTCACCACACAGGCCCTGGTGCTTGGTGGGTATGGCACGCTGCTGCCGACACTCTGCCTGCTGGCGCCAACAGTCATTGTCATATGTGCGGCCATCCTGGGCACACACGGGCCTGTAGGCCCCGTCACAGGTGACGCGGTCACAGGAGCAGTGGGGACGGCCACGGCGAGACAGGCACACAGCATTGAACTGGCAAGGCTCAGGGCACTGGTCTGCGGGCAGGCAAGGAGATTGGAGAGGCCAGAGCATCAGTCCCACGCCCGCACCAGCAGGAACCTGTAGGCTCACAGGTAGTGGCGGCGACATGGTGTGCCAGGGATGGCAGTCACATGGGAGAGGAACTGGGAGCCACGCACCTCGAGGCTGGCACTGGCCAGAACGCACTTTCTGGAGGAGCAGGCCCCGGAGCACCCCAGTGCGGCCCATGATGCAGTCGTTTTCATAAGTGACCCCGTTGTCCCCGCACACAGGTGAGTGCCGGGGAGGGCAGCTGCCCGGCCGCAGAAGCATCTCCGGGCGCCGTGTGCGGGGGTTCACACGACAGATGCGGCTCCGGTCAGCGAGGGCTCCCTGGCAGGGGTCTGCAATGGGAGGCCAAGTCAGGCTGGTCGTCGCATTCATGCATGGCCGGGGCAGCACATGCAGGGGGCAGCGGGCTGCACTCACCACAGGGGCCGTCGAACTTCTTAGAGATGTTTTCCTGGCGTGCACAGGCGTGGCGCAGCAGCTGGCACTCACTAGGGTAGTCGGTACCGTCAGTGCCACACACCGTGCCCTCTGGGGCCCCGTGGCAGGTCACCGGGCACAGGCACGTGGCAGTCTGCCCATCAGCCAGGAGTGCACACGTGCTGCCAAAGCTGCAGGTCACGTTGGCGCAGGGGTCCCTGGACCCTGTGGGCAACAGCATGGGGTCGCATGCCACCCTCCTGCCCCATGCAAGACCACATACACATGCAGGAGCACACATGCACGTATGACAAGCATGCACACACTCACCACAGGGCCCGCGGCGGAGCAAGCGGATGCGCCGTTGCAGGACACACTGTGCACGCTGCAACTCACACTCGTTGCTGTAGGTGGAAGCGTCCGAACCGCACACGGGTGCCACCACAGCTGGGCAGGGGCTCTTCTTGCACACGCAGGAGGCCCGGCCCGGATCTTCTGTGCTGGGCTCGCACACGGCACCAAAGCCACACAGCATTCCCTTGCATACTGGAGTGGGCCAGCAGAAGAGGTGCTCAGAGCAGGGCCTGAGTGAATTCCCAAACCCCGAGGACACAGCCCCCGAATGGCTTGCATGCACGCTCACAGGGCCCCCTGCCGGATCCATGGCCTTTCCTCTAGGAGTCCATGATCCCATCACCCACCTCATACCCAACAGCTGCAGACAGGGCGTCTGTGTCCTCACAACAGGGTAGGCTCCTCAGAGGATGCCCAATACAGCAAGAGAGAGCTGTCCTGCTCAGGAGTGCTCTCTTGTATCAGCGTCAGGGCCCTCATCTGACTGGCACCCTCCACCCCAAGCCCACGTCACCGGCTTCCGGGGTCCCTGCTCAGAAGCTACTGGGTCCAACACACCTGTCCCCGACACCTCTGCTGAGGACCAGCTCCGTCGCCTTCTGAAGCCAGGCTGCACCTCTGCCCTCTCACCCTGAGCCTAACCCTCCTCCATCCTCTGCCAGGTTTGCCAGCCCCCACAGGGGCCCAGTTCCTCCTGAATTGCTCCCTTTCCCCCTTGCCCTTGTGGATGGGTCAGGCTGGCTCTTCAGGCCCTCCCCAGGTTGATTTGCACCCCTGGGTCAGGTAACGGCTGTCTGGATCTAATGAATGTTTAATGGATCCGATTATCATTAATCAGGCACGAGGGGCAGGCTCCCCATCACCTGCCAGCAAGTTCAGGAAATGAAGCAGAAGGAAGAGCCCTTTCTGTCCCCTAGAAGACTGGGGGTGCACTGGAGGCTGGAGCCAGCTACTGCCATGACAGCAGCCCACCCCAGGCTCCTGCTTGCCTGGCTGGGCATCCTGGCCTCCACCCCAGAAGGCTGAGAGAGGAGGGACCTGGCCTGCCTTTTCTAGCCAACCTTGCTCCTATCCCCCGCTATTGTGCCCCCTCAGACCCTGTGGCTATGCTGTCCTTCACTGTGCCCTGGCATCGCCTTCTGTGAATGGAGGCAACAGAACTGGCTCCTGGGGCTGTGGGGTTAAATGGTAAAGCGTAGGGAACCCGGCCCAAGCACCACGTGGAGTGTGTGCTACAACACACACAGTGGCAGAACTGCCACCACCATGGGCCTCTGCTCTGCTCTTGGCTCAAACCAAACCCAGACCATGTCTGCCCGTCTTTGTGCCTGGCCGTCACCTCCCTCCCACCTCCCCTCTCTCCTAGGGAACCCCTCTTTGACTCAGCCCTCTCCCCCAGGCCAAATCCTCTGGGCACTTGTCGATGCTCTTGGGCTTCAAGAAGTCTCCCCCAGATCCAAGCCCAGGGTCACGGACTCAGTTACCCGCCTGCACTCAGACTCCTCTGCCTGCTGTTACGCCTGGGCTCTAGGCTCAGCCTTTCAACCCATCTGGTCACCTCGGTCCAGCAAGACCTCTCCCACGGTCCTGACCCTGAACCCAAGGACAGCTGCTCCTGAGTGGGCATTGTTAACCACCCCAAGGGCCTCTCTCTCCTTCCCACGCTCATGTCATTAGGCTGGGTGGGGGGCTGTTCCATGCACCTGACATCTTCACCATGGCTGGGAACTGCCTCCCTTCCCATAGTACTAGGCGGTCACAGAAGCTCAAGATAAGTTTCTCAGTTGAACATAAGGGCAGGCACAGGCAGAAACCACCTGCAGGCTGGTGCACACGGGAACGGCACACAGGCAGGACAGGGCCTGTGACGGCAACCACACCCTGCATGAGTCCTTATAATGCCTTCCTCATGGGTACTTGGCAGAACAGGAAGGTGAGGCATAGGAAGGCCTCCTGACAACCACACTGCTAGTAAACAGCAGGGCTCCCATTAGGTCCCCCATGCTCTGGTCTTGGCCCACACCCCATCTCTCATAAATGCAAGTGGTACAAGAGGCACCCATGAGCCCCGGCCTCCAGTGGGTTGCCTCTGGGGGCCCTCCCATGCCTGCCTGCTCAGCTCTGCTTGACAGCTTCTGCTGGGCCTGAGGACTCTTTAGCATTGGAGGCGGCATCAGCTTTTTATAGCCACCGTTTTCGGTGGGTATATTTAACTTCCCTCCTGGTCTCGGGAGGTTGGGAGATGGAGCAGATGCCCCAAGTCCTACTCGTGTCCAGGTGTAAGGGGCTCTGTGTGCACTGATGGCCATGGCCAATGTCCACGAGCACTCAAGAGACAGCCAGGGTGTGGGCAAGGGAGCCATGTGAAGCGGGGGGGCAGTGTATGTCAGGGACAGGGAGTACTTGTCAGCCTTCTGGGCTCCAGAGAGAGAGGCTGAGGATGGGGGTGGGGGTTGTCCTCCCACCTGAGCCAAAGTGACACCATGCACTTTGCCCATGGGCTATGGACACTCAGTACCCAGCCCCAGGCCTTAGCCAAGGCCTGGTCCAGCACAGACTGGCCTCCTCCTCACAGTCCATACCACTGAGAGGGCTTGGGCCCCTTCCTGTAAGATGTGAGGACTGCCGAGTATGGTGGCCCAAGCCTGTAATCCTAGCACTTGGGAGGCTGAGGCCAGAGGATAGCTGCAAATTCAGGGCCAGCCTGGATTGCATAGTGAGCTCGAGCACAGCCTGCACTACATAGTGTGACCCTGTGTCAAAAAAAAAAAGTGAGGGCTGTTCCAGGCCACACCCTCCTGGGCCCAAGTCCAGAAGAGAGACAGCACTCTAAGGCAGGCTGGCTGCTCACCTAGTCACATACTCTGCTAGGCACCGGTTCCTGGAGGTCTTGCAAATTCCTGAAGTCACACACCACACGGTGGAGACATGCTCCCCTGACACAAAGGGCTCTGGGTCTCACAGGCTCCCCTCCCTACACTGCAGGTGGGGGTTAGCATGCTGAGGCCTCACAGTCTCATGGGAGCAGCCTGAAGAGAGGCCAGGCCACATCCTCTAGCCACCCCGCCACATGCTGCTAAGAACCCAAGAAGTGACCCAGGCTACGCAAGCTGGGAGTGCATTCTGGGAGAACCCAGAGCCCTACCCCCAGAGGGAGACCCACAGCCCCTCCCAGGATTCTTTCAAGTTGTTCTCCTCACCTATGTCTTGGTCAGGACAAAGCCACAGCCCTACCCTACATGTAGACAGCTCTGGACTTGTGGTGTCTGTGGATGTGGACAGTAGCCTCCCTGCAGAGGACCCAGGGATGGGGTGGGAACTGAGAATGAACCTGGAGCTCCTGCCCCTGCTGAAGGCCAGGCTGGGTGAGAGGCTGCAGAGCATCCCTTGTCCTCAGAGCCTGCACCAGCTTCCTCTCCCTGGCATGAACGTAATTAGAGGCCCACACACCAGCAGCCCCCTGGGAGGCCCAGTCAGAAAGGTCAGCCCGCCCTCCATCACTTGCACCCTCCCTAGTGGAGCCTGCACAGACCCAGGCCCCCTAGGGCCCTCCTCAGACAGCTGTCCTGGTCCATCTGAGCCCTGCCCTGCCCCCACCAGTCTTCTCTCTGTGCTTCTGTTTCTAGCTGCTGTCCAGCCCCACTCCTTCCTGAACCAAGAAAAGGGGGACACGAGAGACGAAGCCCCACTATGGCCAAACTCTGACCTCACTTCCCAGCACCCCATGGCTGCTGTCTGACATCACCTCACCACGACGGGCTTCAGGACTTCTCCCCGTGTTGAGGCTGTGGCCCACAGAAGTTAGCGCCCTGCTCATGTGTACCGGCCAGCAGCCGAGACAGAGCTCCTGGCACTGCCCACCCTGTGGACTCTCCAGACACCCCTAGAGTACCACACTGTAGCACAGCCCCAATCCCGAGGGGCCCTCCCACCAGGCACCCCTACTCACGGTTAGGAGGCATCAGAGGGGCTGATGTGAAGTGGGTCCCAAGTTTGTCTGCAAAAGATAAATCTCGAAGTTAGACCGTTTGCAGCCTCCTCATTCTACCCTTCCCTCAGAGATCCAGGCCAGGAAGCTGAGGGACCCAGCCCTGAGCCCCACAGGCTAGCTGAGGCTTTGGAGGAAGAAGATAGAAGCCCCTGCCTGTCTCTGCCCCACCAGTGGCATGGCCCTGGCCTGGCATCTGTCTGGGTACAGCAAGAATCAAACAGCCACCTGCTTCCCCAGAGGAATCCAGCCCCAAGCCCTGTCCCTGCACCACCCCATTTCCCATGCAGACACCCCTGCCCAACACTGCAAAGTTGTTTCTGCCCCACAGGATGAGGCTGAGCCCTGCAAGGGGCCCAAGAAGCCCCCAAAGGCACAGATGGCCCATTCTATACAAGCCACGTCATGACCCCTGGCTTCGCTGTGACTCTGCCTGCCTTGGAACCCTTGGGAGCTGAGAAGCAGGCTTGGTTGGCAAATCCAGGGCCCTTGCGCCAAACCCGCGCAGCCACACCCAGCGGCCACGTACAGTTGCTGAGGAAGAGCAGCACAGCAAAGCCCAGCGTGGAGGTGGCCAGCAGGATGAGGCAGGCATTGCAGGGGACCATGAAGTACCGCACCAGCAGGGAGACACCGGGCTGCAGCCCGGGACGGCGCTCCAGTGGCAGGGGTGGCATGGCTCCGCTCCGCCCGCTCTGCTGTGCGCTGGGTTCTCATGGAGCACCCTTAGGCCTCTCAGGGGCTGCTCCACCCATCCTGGGGCCCCAGAGGGGCACACAGCAGCACCACTCTCAAACTTCCGCCCCAGCCCCAGCGTGGGGGGCTCCAGGCCCCTTCCAGCCCTCCAGACGCATCCGAGGAGGTGCTCAGAATTGTCCGCGAGTAGAAATCCCCAAGGATTTTCAAGCTCGGAGACAGCCGGAGGACCGGCCCACCCCTGCCAGCCGCCACCAGCCGGCTCTGTCCTCCGTCCCCGGACAGAGCTCAGCACGCTGGAGCAGCAACGACAAGAGCCCGACGAGAGCCGGGCGCAGGGCCTGGCCGCGCGCGCCTGGCAAGCGCGAGCGCGGTGGAGCGCGGGAGGCGCGGCGCGCAGAGAAGAAAGAGCAGCGGCGGTGGAACCCCCGCCCCGCAGCGGCTCTCTCGGCCTTCCAGGCCTGCGGTGAGTGAGCGTCCGGGGCGCGGAGGCAGCGCAGGGAGCACAGACAAAGGAAGGCGCCTCGGGGGACCCCGGCGCCCGCTGGGAGTGGAGTTCAGAGCGCAAAGGATGGGCGGGAGAGGGAGAGACCCGGGCCGAGGCCCAGTGACACAAAAGGGACAGCGCTAGGAGGGGCGAGGGCCGCGTAGGTACTGGAGTCTGGGTCTAGAGCCACGCTGGGCTGGAGGGCGGCAGGTACTGGCTGGTGGTGAGGCTGCCCACGGTCCGGGCCGGGGCCAGGGGTCCTCAACTCGTCCTCCAGCTGGGCTAGCACTGGGCGGCCTGAGGCTTCTGTGTCACCAGGGGTGCTTGGGCTTGCCTGAAGGACCGGGTTTTGGGGTCCTGGGTTGGGCCTGAACGTCTGCCATTTGTCATCGTGTGGGGCCGTCAGTTATTTCTGCTGCTGCTGGCTCCACCCTGGTGTCTGGGATCCCCAGGTGGGGTCCGAGGGCCCAGGTGCAGTACAGGCTCCCGAGTGGAGGCGAGCTGATGGGTTCAGAAATCTCACCCACTTTCCCCAACACTCGAAACAACCCGTGCCCCCTCTACTGCCTTCCAGAGGAGAGAAAACAAGCAGAGAGGCGCGAGCAAATAAGCCGTATGCAAATATCCGCCGGAACTCCCCGCGAGTCCTGGGGCTGGCGCGCCCCCCGGAGGCCACCTGGGAACTCAGCCCGGATCCCGCTCCGTGCAACCTTGGCGATTCTGTTCCACCTCCACTGTCCCCAGTCACGACCTCCGAGGCCGGCCGGGGTCACCCCCGTGGTTATCTCTACATCCAACATCTCCAGCCCCCCACCCCGTACTGATGACTGACCCTAGGGCTTTCACACTGACCTACCTCCTCAAATCCCCAACCCATCTAATTTGAGACAGGGTCTAGCTAAATCACTAAGCTGCACAGGCTGGCCTGGACCTTGCGATCCTCCTGCCTCAGCCTCTCAGAGTGCTGGGATTACAGGATTGTGCCACCACCACACCTCCCACGGGCCTGCTCACACCCTACTCCGTGCCTCTCCTACCCAGGAACGGCATGTCTGCCCTCCGCACGGGTTCTCTCCTCTAGGGGCAGCCAAACCCTTCCGGGACTCCTCCCGACAGCAGTCCTTACCCCAGCTGAAGTCAAGCTCACAGCCCCCACAGCAGGTACATTCATTCCACAGTCACTCTCTGGCCTCCTCCCAGTCTGTGTTCTTGTTTTTTTTTTTGTTTTTTTTTTTTGGTATCGGGGATCAAACTCAGGACCTTGTGCTTGCCCGGCAGGTGCAGTGCCACTGAGCTATGTCCCTGGCCCTTCTCAGTCCGTTTTGGGAAGGAAGCACTGGCCACATCCCTGACCCATAATCACTAGCTAAGTCTGTGGGGCTCCAGGACTCTACGCATTGGCCACAGGTACCCTCCGTGGCCACCAGCTGGCCCTCCCAAGGTTCCGCTGTCCCACCTCACCCAGGCAACTCCTCCAGCTCACCTGCCCCTAAACCTCACCAGTCCCACCTCAGCCAGGAAAGCCGGGCAAGGTGTGCTACTCCCACACGGGAGTCGGCCCTGTCCCACCACAGGCCAAGGGCAGAAATCCCCAAGGCGGGCTCACATTACTGGGTTAGGGGTCTTCCCCTCTCTTGTGGCCCCCAAACCCACTGTTGGTACACTTTTTTTTTGGTACCGGGGATTGAACTCGGGTCCTTGAGCTTGTGCAGCAGGTGGCGAAACCACTGAGCTAAATCCCCGGCCCCTAAAACCCACTGTTTTAGTGAAACCTTGCAGGAAAATCCAAACCGATTTTGAGCCCCCCACTAGCCACTTGGAGACCTCAACCCAGGCTGGCCTCACCCTCTCAGGGAGCCCCTGTCCCCCAACCAACCCCAGTGGACCTTGGCACTGCCTGCAGCACATTGATAGAGTCCTGGCATGTGGTACCCAGGGCAGGGTCTGAGTTTTTATCTCTCAGGGCGGAGGTCAGCCTAGAGTGGAGAAAGGAAGGACCTGGTATGTGAAGCCCAGCACAGCACAAGCACATTTTTCCATCTGTCTCCGACTGCCGGATAAAGTGCCAGGGACCAGGCCCAGGCAATGCCCAGCAGCCCACACACCCACACAATGCTATGTACTGCTGCCACATGCAGCCCTGGGCGTCCTGGGTGAGCTCCATAGGAGTCCAGGAAACAGTGTGGGAGAGCTGAGTTTGAGTGGCAGTGGGAGCCCTTGGGAAAGGCTGATGGGCAGAGAAGGCATGGGGGGGTACTGGACGCTGCCTGGGATATTTGGCCCCCTAAGCAGAGACTCTGAGATCTGCCACTGAAGGGGTCCCAACAGAGCCTTCTGGATGTTCACATGTGGGTGTGAGCCTGGCCCAGACTAACACTGGAAATGGGCTCTGGGCAGGGTGGGGGGTAACCAGACAGGCAGCCTGACCCTAGCAGGCCTCTGCTGTGGCGGGATGCCTTCCACAGACAAAGAGCCATTGAAGCCCTGGCCCAGTGGGGAGGGGAGCTCAGGCTACTGCAGCTATTTTAGGATCTTCAGGCAGAATCATTCGGCCTTGACCAGCCCACGCATGCTTATGCCCCAGAACGAACGGGATACTCCAGGCCAGGAGCCAGCCCCTTGGACTCAGGGCTCACACCCCAGCAACATGCGATGGCTAACTGCCATACACTGGGCATCCCAGCTCTAAGTGTGCACATAGGCACACTTGCTGAATGTCTATGCCACTGGGTGTCACACGCACCCTAACCCAATCCCACCTCCAGGCGCACAGCGAGGTGTGTGTGACCCCATCCATCCCTCAGTGTGAACATCCGGCTGTGCGCGGGAACCTGGGGGTGGGCCCGGAGGGAAGGGAGAGTCTAGCCCACTGGAGGCCAGTCCCTCATTCACATGTAGATTACTCCTCCCTCCACTCGCTCTCTAGAAAGGAGGGTGTGGTGATGATGTGTAGGCACCGCCCTCCAAGGCAGGGGCCTTGCCCGACCATCACTTGCAGACAGGCAGTGACATCTGACCTGTGGTGACCCCTCTGTCCACAGAGATCTTGGGGTGTGCTGCTCAGCAGGGAAAGGTGCTGCCCTGGCATCAAGCAAGCACGCACAAGGCCCTGTCCTGGCCCAGTGCGCAGGTGTGCAGCTGCCCCTGTGGAGACGTGACAGTGGCCTCCATCCTATGGCCTCTTGGGGTTGGGCCTCAGCCTGTACCCTCCCCTCCCCTTCAGTCTTGGCAGACAATGAGCGTTTCAGGACAGGACGTCACTGCTGGGTGGCAGCCAGCCACTGGGAAAGAGGCCACACTGGGTGGCTCACTAACCAGTCTCAGCTGTGGGGCCTCAGATCACCCTCCTGCCTCAGGTGGAGCCTGAGGTGCTTAGGTCAGACCTGTACCCACCAACAACCTGGCCCCTGTCTATGACAGCCTGCCATTAAATGGAAATCTGGGGCAGGGGCACAGCAGGGCTGACTGAGCCTTCCAACGCAGACTCCTCTTCATCACCAACCAGCCTGTCTGCACCTCCCTGGGCAGGGCTCAGTGTCCCCAGTAGGCCCTGGGAAGGATACACTGTGGCATTTCAAATGAAGTCCAGCCAGGTTGGCAGGAGGCAGGTGGTGTGGCCTCCTGAGGTGACACTGGCATACAGACCAGTGAGGATGGGGGCTTGCACAGATCAGGAGGCAACTACCAAAACCAAGCTGGGAACAAGCTCAGAAAGCTTCCAGTAAGCAGCAGGCCAGCACAGAGATCTGGGGGGAATGGAACAAGAGGGCCACAGCCTGCAGCGCAGATTCTCAGGCGTTAGGGTCTGCAGCCCCACCTTGGCCTG